AGCAGGGCTCAGGGTAGACCTCTGAGGAGATGCTGTTCAGAGCCAAGACTTGAGGAAAAAAAGGGGTTCGTGAAAGGATGGGGCATGGGCTGGGGGGCCAATGGGGATATCTCACCCGCCTGCCTCACCTGCCCTTCTGACACCCCAGGCTCCAGGGCCTCCTGGCCAACTTTGGAGTAGAGAGAGGAGGGGCTGTTGCTAGAAGAAATGGGGCTTCCGGGGCTGGAGCAATAGCACAGCGGGTAGGGTGTTTGCCTTGCACGTGGCCAACCTGGGTTCGATTCCCAGTATCCCATATGGTCCCCCGAGCACAGCCAGGAGTAATTCCTGAGTGCAGAGCCAGGAGTATCCCCTGTGCAATGCCGGGTGTGACCCAAAAAGCAAAATAAAAAAAATGGGGCTTCCTTTACTTTACCCAGGGGATACATCTCACCAGTGGCCCTCTTGGGGACATTCCTGCTGATACTTGGCCAGGTGGTGGTTCAGTGCAAAGGCCTTGCAGTGCCGGGGTCCAGGGATTGAATCTGTCCCCTGGGCCCAGGCCACCGTTGTTCAGTCCCTAGAAGCAGCTCAGGCCTTCCCTGGGTCCCCAGGGCTGATCTCCCCAGTTTGGAACCAGGGTTTATGCGGCTGGCCCCGCAATGCCCTCTTTGTGCCTCTGCCCAGCCCAGGGTCTGAGCTTTGCTGTGGGTGCTGGGCAGGGCTTCCTTCCCAGGCGTGGGGTGACGCGCCCCCTTCTCTCTCTCCTCAGTTCTAAAGGGGAAGAAACTGAGCCTCCCCGCCTAGTCCCTGGCCGTCCCAGAGGCAGACCGAGGCAACGCAGACAGACCGGCCACGCAGACAGACCGGCGCCTTCTGCTCCCCGCGATGGTGACTTTTTTAAAAAAAGAACAACCTCTCCCCACGCTCCATGCCCCCTCCTGCCGGCTTTCAGGGGGTGGTGGAGGACCCACGTCTTGGGGAGCTCAGGACCTGGGCTGTTTGTAGTTTTTTGCCTTTTAGAGAAGAAAAAAAAAGATCTTTCCATGATTTAGTTTTTTTCTGACAACTTCTTTCTCTTCTAGCTCCTCTCTTTGTCCCCCTTTTTATAAACTGTTTCTGAGTGTCCTGTGAGGTGGGGCCGGGTGGGAGATACCCCTCAACACACACAGTCTCCTCTGCTCCCTCTTGAAGCCCCGGGCTCCCAGCCTCAGCAAATTGTCACGCCTTCAATCTGCCTGCCTGATCTCCTACCGGGCTGACAACGAAGCCACTGCACCCCCAAACTTCTGGTCCCCGGAAAGGGAGTTGGGGAGAGTCGAACTCCCCTGATTTTTCATAACAGATTTTTTTTTCCTCTCTCCAGAGTTTGGGTTCTTTGGTCTACTCCTCTTTTTTTTTTTTTTTTTTTTTTTTGGCAATTTAGGGGGTGAGGGGCCAGGCACAGGCAGGGGCTGGCCTGAAGGTCCCTATGGCTTTGCCGCCATGTTTTTGTACAGAACTGATGGTTGATTCTTTGTTCTCTTGAATAAACCAAGGAAAATGATGCCTCTCTTTCGCTACGTGTTGCCCCCTATCTTTGGATTTTATGGGGATCCCTCCGCCCTGGCCCCCATCTCTGCTTCTGTTTTATTCCATCGACTGTCCATGGGTAACTCGGAAGATGAGAACTGGAGTTCCTTTGTCTTGGCTGAACCCTGACTTCTTTGCTCCATTGGGAAGAGATGTTAAGAGTTAAAAAGAGGGGCTGGAGCGATAGCACAGCGGGTAGGGTGTTTGCCTTGCATACAACTGATCCGGGTTCAATTCCTAGCATCCCATATGGTCCCCCGAACACTGCCAGGAGTAATTCCTGAGTGTATGAGCCAGGAGTAACTCCTGTGCAACGCCGGTGTGACCCAAAAAGAAAAAAAAAAGTTAAAAATAAAAAATTGCTGAGATTCTTCTTCCCTTGGCACAGAACTTTCTGACAATTTTCCTGGGTCAGGGGGGTCACAGAGAATCTTCCAGAGTGTGTTCCAAAAGTCACTCATGGCAGCATGAGTGACCCCCCGACCACCTCTTGATATTTGGTCAAACCACTGTTTTTATTTGGAAAAAAAAAGGAAATGATCTCCAACCTTTCAATATTAGATTTCCACATTGAAATCTGGATGTCTGGGTTCTTTTGAAAAAAACAAAACAAAACAAAAAAAACCCCATCAGTCTGACAATGCTGGGCCCTCATTTTGAGGTGATAGCAGATGGCAGTAGCTGAATGGATGGGATGGGCTTTTCACAGGCTCCCTGGGATTTGGCGAGGGCTTGGAACCATTCATTATCAGGCGGACACTGTTGGTTTGGGCTTTTGTGGATGAAAAGTGAAACATCTGCCAGATGGTCCTCGCCGCTGGCCCGGGTTGTGTCTTGTGACACCTCCCTGGTCTGGGACCATTTCTTGAGGTTTCTAACTACTTTTCTCTGACCTTCCTCTCCTGCCTTCTGTTTTCTTCAGAGTTTGGCTCTGGAAGCTTCCAGAAGCTTTTAGGAGCTGGTGTGTCATAGCCATGTCCCCAGTGCCAGGTTTAGGTGCCCCTCCTGGCAGAAGAGAGCTAGGCTTAGAGGGCTGGGGGACAGATTGGGGATCTCCCTGGCCTTTCTGTTACCAGAACTGGAGTATAAAACCACTTAGGGGGTTTTGATGAGTTTTCCCTCTTGGAAGCTAAGGGGAGTTTTGTCCAGAAGCCTGATTGGGCAAACACAGGAGTAGAGCTGGGTTGGGTTTGGGTTTGGGGGTTGGGGTGGGAGGTGGCATCTCCCAGAACATGGTCTGAAAAGCATGAGGAAGTCTGGTCTGAGTCTTTACTTTTGCAGCCAACTGAGCCTATCGCTGGAAATATGAGGGTGCATGCCAGGCGTCCAGCTGGTCATCAGGGTTGGGAGGGGAATGGGTGCAGAATCCCCTCTTCCCATCTGCACGTGCCCACTCCACTATGCTCTTGCCCTGCCCTCCTGATGCCCACTTGTCCCCATGCTTTTTTTGCGGGGAGTCACAACGGCAATGTTCAGAGGTTACTCCTGCATCTGAACTCAGGAATTACTCCTGGCTTTGTTCAGGGAACCCTATGGGATGCTGGGGATCAAACCCAGGTCAGCCATATGCAAGGAAAATGCCCTCCCCATTGTACTATTGCTTCAGCCCCTCCATGCTATTCTTTTTTTTTTTTTTTTTTTTTTTTTTTGCTAAGGGGAACACGACAACCAGCTGCATTCTGGGCTTATTTCTGTCTCTTCCCTCAAAGGTCACTACTGATGGGACTCAGGGACCCTGTGCAGTGCTGGGAGTAGAGCCTGGGTTGCCCATGTCCAGGACAAGTGCCTTCCTTGCTGTGTTATCTCTTCAGCACTTCCAGTTTGTTCCTGCATCCACAGAACTGGGTGTCTTGGGTTTGACAGGAAGCCTCAAGAAAAGGCACAAGAGTCCCAGGGGGGCAGCTCAGAGCACTGGATGCTGTATACATGTTTCCCATACGGGCGGGGGGCCTGGTTTGACTCCATACCACATGATCCTCTGAACATAACCACAGGGATCCTTCTAGAATCCAGCATCACTGTGCTGAGTAGTCCCAGTAGCCTCCAGATCCTATAAGCACTGCATGGGAGGCCTCCCCATCTCTCCTCCCAACCCCCCAGCCCCACTCCCAAAGCATGTGAAACTCTCCCTGGCATCTGGTGGCTCGTGTCTGTGCTGGCACTCGTCCTAGGCCTCTCGGAGCTTGCTTGTTTGGCCTGCATTAACTTTGAATTTTTTAAAAAATACTTTTTTGGGGTTACAGCCAGCGATGCACAGGGGTTACTCCTGGCTCTGCACTCAGGAATTACCCTTGGCTGTGCTTGGGGGGCCATATGGGATTCTGGGAACCGAACCCTGTTTGGCTGCGTACAAAGCAAACGCCCTACCCGCTGTAACTTTGAATTTTTTTTGTATTGTTTTGGGACCCTACTCAGTGATGCTAAGGGTTATTCCTGGCTCTGCACTCAGGAATCCTCCCCTGGTGGTGTTCAGGGGACCCTGTGGGAATCAAATCTGGGTTGGCTTCTTGCAAGGCAAGTGTCCTCCCTGCTGTACTATCACTCTGACCCTGAAATGTTACAAATTTCTGTGTCTTTTGGGTTTAGGGGCCACCCCTGGTGATGTTAGGGGATATTTCTGGCTCTGTGCTGAAGGGTCACTCTTGGGGGGCCATATGTAACCAGAGGTTTTACCCTAAACCCAGTCACCTAAACCCTGTGCTAGTCTTCAGGGCAAAGAAAATCCCTTTAGGGTTCCAGAGCCGTAGTCAAGCAGGTGGTGCGGGCGCTGGCCTTGCATATGGCCACCCCAACCCAGAGGTCATCCCCAGCATCCACACGGTGCTCTGAGCACTGCCAGGAGTGATTCCTGAGTGCTATGTCAGGAGTAACCCCTGAGCATTGTCAGCTATGGCTCCCCAAACAAAAGAATATCACTTCTGGATGGAGAGATAGTACAGCGGGCAAGGTGCTTGTCTGCATGGTGGCGGCTGCCTCAGGCTCAGTCCTGGGCTCATGTATTGATCCACTGTGCCTGTTACCTGGGTCCCTTGGCCCCATTCCATGTGAAAGGGCATGCACTTTGGCACCAGTGACAGGGCAGCTCCCAGTGTGGACCCTGGCTCCTGGAGCCTCTGTAGGTGTAAGCATTTCACTGGGATTTTTCACTTTGGTGCTGCCAGGGATTGAACCCGGGATCTCACCCATGCAAGGTGGTTGCTTGACCACTGAGCTACCATTCTGGTCCAGCACATATGCAGTGAACTCATGCTGCCTCACCTGCACAGTGGCTCCCTGGTGCCTCCCTCCCAGGGCCCAAAGGAGGGACTCAGGGAGCTTTCCCTCCCTGTCACCACCTCCAGCCTCTGTCCCAGTGTAGCCCCACCTTGGGGAGGAAAGACACGGGGAGCAGAGGTGGTCAACCCTCTGTGCTGGGAGGAGAATCTCTTTACTGCTGTGGAGGCCAGTGGCTAGTCAGTATCAGGCATCATGGCGAGGCGGGGCCCCTTCGGAGTGGTCAGGTAGGGGGATAGGGCAGAGCTGGAGTATGTCAGGCTGGTGGGGCCGGTGGTGGTGGGCATGTTGATGGGGCTGGTGGGTGAAGGTGGGGACAGGCTGGTCAACACCACGGCCCCCTCATCCAGGGAGCGCTTGTAGGGGACTGGAGTGTCCTTCTGGAGGTCATGAAGTGCCAGGTAGGCCTGGAACATCTGTGGGCACAAAAGGGCTGGTTTAAGGGCCGGGGGTGGGGGGTTAGCCCAGGGGGTTGAGGCACTGGCCCTGGGCCCTGCGTGCATCTATCTGATACCAGTGATCCCAACACTGTATAGTGTCTCCTCTGCCCCACCAGGAATGATCCTTTTTATTTTTTGGCTTTTGGGGTCACACCTGGCAATGCTCAGGGGTTACTCCTGGCTTTGCACTCAGAAATTACTCCTGGCGGCGCTCAGGGACCATATGGGATGCTGGAAATCGAACCTGGGTCGGCCACGTGCAAGCAAATGCCTTACCTGCTGTACTATCCAGCCCCCAGGAATGATCCTTGAGCACAGAGCCAGGAGTAAGTCCCGCCCACCACCAGGTGATACCCCCTCAAAAAAAAAAAAAGGAAAGGGCACCTTCTTTCCAATTTGCCCCAGATTACCCAAGGGACTAGCAGAGACTTTGGGGGTGTCCCTGCGCCCCTCCCCTCTGATCCCTTAGCCTCTGCTGAGGGCACCTCCTCACCCAGGCGAAGATGGAGAAGAAGCTGAAGGAGATGGCGGCCTTGGCGCTGCTGCTGCCCAGGAGAAATTCTTTGGGGGAGCGTTGCCACTGGTTGGCCAGGAAGCAGAAACCCACGAACCAGATGCCTGTCCACAGGACTGTGGGGGGCAGGAGGGCAGAGTGGAGAGGCAGCAGCATCAGGGACAGGACCTTTCCCTGCCAGCCCTCTGCTGCTCCTGCTCTGCAATTCTTGTGAATTAAGCCACATCTGAGTGCGAGCCGCTGGCAGTACGTACTGGTATTTGAGTGTCAAACCGCAATCAAGTCCAATGTAATTAAAAAAAATTCAGAACCTCTACTGACAAATTTCACTCAAAAGGAGAGGGCTTGGATTTATTTTTTTAATTGTATTGGACTTGATTATAAGGTTTACACATGGATACCAGCACATACCACTCAGATGAGGCAAATATTCAAGGCCAAGGAAAAAAAGGCAAGGAGGACTAATCAATGGTTGGAACTTACCACAAGTGTGTGTGGGGTGGAGGGCAGTTAGGATTGGGAAGGGACCAATATTACAATAATAGTTGGAAATGATCACTCTGACAAGAACTGAGGGTTGAGAGTAAGTAAAGGAAGGGATATACATGATAACCCTTCAGTATCTATATTGCATACCATAATGCCCAAAAGGGGCGGGGGAGGGGGGAGAGAGAGAAGGAGGGAGGGAGAGAAAATAGGGAGAGAGGAAGAGAGAAGAAAAGTGCCTGCCACAGAGGGGGTGCGGAGTTGGGGTGGGAAACTGGGGACATTGGTGGTGGAAAATGTACACTGGTGAGGGGATGGGTGTTGGAACATGATATGACTAAAACCCAATCATGAACAACTTCTGTTTTTTGTTTTTTTTGGGGGGGGTCACACTCAACAATGCACAGGGGTTACTCCTGGCTCATGAACTCAGGAATTACTCCTGGCGATGCTTAGGGGGACCATATGGGATGCTGGGAATCGAACCCGGGTTGGCTACCTGCAAGGCAAACGCCCTATCCGCTGTGTTATCACTCCAGCCCCACATGAACAACTTTAATTGTGTGTTATTGTGTTTCTCACTGTGATTCAATTAAAAAAAAAATCCAGGTCCTCCGTCAGTGGCTCTGGCCAGACTTGAAGTGCTGAGCCAGTTGCAGAAATATTCTGGGCCTATGCTCACCAACTCGGGGCCACAAGCTTAGCCACTTGGGCAGAATATTCACCCCCCACCCCCTCAACAAAAAGTTCACCCCTGAAAACAAGTCTGCCCCAAGATGCTCCACTGGTCTGAGGTGGGGAGGAAGGGGAGGTATGCGGATAAGAGTGGAGCTTGGGGGATGGCTCCAAAGACTGAAGTGCATACTTTCTTTGGGGGGTACCTCAGGTTCAAGCCAGGCAAGGCATGGATCTAATAAACACTGTTTATTATTATGATTATGGTCCCAAGAGAAACCAAACCAAAAGAGCTGAGCTGAGTAAGACAGAGGAGGAGCCTGAGGCCTGAGGACAGGGGTGTGCACACATTTGGCCCTTACTGTATGCCCGCTGATATCACTCTAGGGTGCTCTACTAAAGGACTTTGCTTGGACCTGATAATGCCTTGCGTGCCTCATGCCATAACCTCTTTTTCTTCTCTGTGAAACAGAAAGCAGAACAGGAGAGGGTGCCTAGGGGTCCACTAGGGGCCCTGGACTCTGAACCCGATGTGGGGGAGAGGTTTACATCACATATGGGCTTCAGAAGAGCCCTGCACAGACGGGGTCCCCGTGCTTTACCTGTGTTTCACACTGGGCAGAGCCTACTCAGACCCAGAGCAGAGTCTCAATCCTCAGCCTTGGTCCCTGCTCTGAACCTCACCTTTGGGAGGCAGAGCAATAGCAGAGTGGGGAGGGCATTTGCCTTGCACAGGGCTGACCAGGGTTCTATCCCCAGCATCCCATATGGTCCCCAACCCCAGCTAGGAGTGAGCCCTGAGCACAGCCTGATGTGGCCCAAAGCCCCCCACCCCTCACTTTCTGCCCTCCTGGGGCACCCTGTGGGGCCCTCTGTGTGGGGTTCCTAAGAAATGCTCTAGGAAGAAGGGAAGTGGTGCTGAAGCCATAGCACAGCGGGTAGGGTGTTTGCCTTGCACGTGGCTGATCTGGGTTCGATTCCCAGCATCCCATATGGCCCCCCAGCACCGCCAGGAATAATTCCTGAGTGCATGAGCCAGGAATAACCCCTGTGCATCGCCAGGTGTGATCCCCCCCAAAAAAAATAAATAAAAGAAGGGAAGTGGGTGCAAGCTAACAGCAAGGCTGGAGGGAAGGTTCTGGAACCTCCTAGGTCTAAAGGCCATGCCCTCACTTCCGGAAGGGGTAGAAGGGCAAGTCTGCCTGGATCCAGAGGGTGCACCACGCCTCACCTGCCAGGATGAAGTCCAGCAGCTGAAAGGCTGTCCTGAAGCGGGTGCTGACCATGGAGCCCTCTTGGGTATCCAGGAGCACGAAACTGAGGCAGCACAGGAAGGCCAGGAAGCCGGCAGCCACGGCGAAGCTGCAGGCTGCGCCATTGCTGTCCAGCACGCAGTGTAGCTGGCTCGAGTCTGTCTTGTTCTGGTAGCCGTCGGTCAGCAAGGAGGAGAAGATGATGAGGGCGAAGACCTGTGGGTGTGGGGTCCGCAGGGACCGACCAGAGCTGAGCTCAGTTTTCCAACCCCCCTCTGAGCCCTGGGCCCCCCAGCCCTGTGCCCACAGGGGTCCACCAAGCCCTGTCTCCGCTGCCTCTCTTCTCCAGCCCAGGTCTGTGTGTCCTCCAACCATAGCCCATCCCCCAGGGGCCCACAAGTGTCTGTGAGCCCCCTCACCCCACATGGCTTTTCAGCACCTCCAGGACTGAACCCTAGTCCCTCAATCTGGTCTTGCAGGTCCTGTATTGTCTTGGTTCCCCATAGCCCCCTGCCTCACACATACACCCCTTTAGCACCCCAAACTAGTACTGTAGCACTGTCCTCCAGTTGTTCATTGATTTGCTTGAGCGGGCACCAGAAACTTCTCCATTGTGAGACTTGTTAATATTTTTTGGCATATCGAATACGTCATGAGGGGAGCTTGCCAGGCTCTGCTGTGCAGGTGGGATACTCTCGGTAGCTTGCTGGGCTCTCCGAGAGGGAGGAATCGAACCCGGGTTGGCCACGCCCTACCTGCTGTGCTATCACTCCAGCCCCCCAGACTAGTAAAGTAAAGTAAAGTAAAGGCCCTCCCGTTGATCGTCGATTTGCTCGAGCGGGCCCAGTAACGTCTCCATTGGAGACTTTGTTGTTACTGTGTTTGGCATATCGAATACTCTCGGTAGCTTGCCGGGCTCTCCGAGAGGGGCGGAGGAATCGAACTCGCGTCGGCCATGTTGGCCGCGTGTAAGGCGAACGCCCTACCCGCTGTGCTATAGTATGGCCCTCCAAATTCAGGTACTAACATCAACTGCTTCTCACTGTGCTCCAGACTCACGACTTGCTCAAGGGCCAAGAGCTGCTCTCATGAGTTCTCTTTCCTGTTTGGGGGCCATAACCAGCAGTGCTCAGGGTTTCCTCCTGGCTCTGTGCTCAGGCATCACTCCTGGCAGGGCCCAGGAGACCATAGGGTGTTAGGGATCCAATCTGGGTTGGCTAGTGCCTTAGTGCAGTCCTATCTCATTGATTGCCTACTCACTTTCTGAAATCAATCTGTGAGACCTCCCCAATGACAGCAGGATGGAGAAGCGAGGAGCGCAGCCAGCACCCAGAAGCCCCTGACATAACTAGTCTCTTGGGTTCGAGAATTTTCTTTTTTTTTTCTTTTTTTTTTCTTTTTGGGTCACACACGGTGATGCACAGGGGTTACTCCTGACTCTTGCACTCAGGAATTACTCCTGGCGGGCCTCAGAGGACTATATGGGAATGCTGGGAATCAAATCCGAATTGGCTGTGTGCAAGGTAAATGCCCTATCTGCTGTGCTATCGCTCCAGCCCCAAGAGGATTTTCTTTCCCAAGAAAGCACATCCCCGATCTGCCTACTTGGTCCTGATTATCTACACTGTCACCTGTTATCCCTACAGCTGCCCTAATATGTGGGCCTCAATGACGGCCCTGCTTTGAGAGTGAAACTGAGGCACGGAGGGGAATCAGAGAATGTGGCAGGGTGGGGCTGCAGCAATAGTACAGCTGGTAGGACACTAGCCTTGCACATAGTGGATCCGGGTTCTATCCCCAACACCACATATGGTTCCATGAACCCTGCCAGGAGTGATCCCTGAGCACAGAGCCAGAAGTAAGCCCTGAGCACCAGCAGGTGTGGCCCCAAAACAGAAAAGAAAATAAAAGTGAGGTTTGTGCAGGAGTTAAGGTGCTTGCCTGGCGTCCTGCCAACACTGGTTCGAATACCCAGCATGCATGTAGTCCCCTGAGCATCACTAGGGGTCACTCCCAAGCAGAGAGCCAGGAATAGCCCCTTGAGAACCAGAGGATCTGGCCAAATCCTACCCTCCTTGCTCATGACCCCTCAACATAAATGAGGTTTGCTAGCTTATAGCTATGTGGAAGACCAGGTTCAATGCCTGTCACTGCAAGTCTTACTGAGTACTACTGGGTATGTATGGCCCCCCAAAACAATAAATTAAAATGTGAAAAAGGGGATCAGAGTAATAGTACAGCGGGTAGGGCATTTGCCTTGAACATGGCCGACCCAGGTTCGGTCCCTGGCATCCCATAGGGTCACCTGTGCCCTGCTAGGAATTACCCCTGTGCATCGCCAGGTGTGGTCCCTCTGAAAAAATTATATATACAAAAGATCTGAAGCAGGCTGAGGACAAAGAGCATGGAGGCTGGGCAAACTGTGTGTGCCAAGCATGATGTGATAGGGCTTCTTCAGAGATAGGGAGAAATCTCATTTGGGGGATGTGCTGAGAGCTGAGGCCGGGAAAGTGGGAGCCAGAGCTTGGCAGCCTTGCTGCATTGGCGCAGGAGAAGCTCCATGTCTAATCTGGAAGTCTTGGGAGTGGAGACTGGCCTGGAGAACAGGGCCAGGGTCATGACAAACTGGGGGTGCGATGAGAGCGCAGGAAGGGGTCAAGATAAGCAGTCAACTGATGTAAGAGGAGATTGGTAGACAGGCACTGGGGAGAAACTGAATTGACTGGGCCGAGGCCTGAGCTCTGGAAAAGCCAGTGATATCCAGGACGGAAAATTGAAATCGGGGATTGATTGGCTATGGTGGTGCCAGCGAGAACAGGGCCGGAAGGGAAGGCGAGGGGAGGGCAGTCATTAGACGGTCAGCTCCTGACCAAGGTCCACATGGGACTCTCCACTCTTTTCCCAGCATAACTGCAAGTCAGCGAGTGTGTGTGGGTAGAGGCAATGAGTGGGGCCTTCTTTGCTCTTATATGGGTAGGCAAAAGACTGACCCCTAAATCCCCCGTTTCTGTCCAGTTCCTCTCTCATTGGCCTTATTTGCTTCCTCTTAACAACCAACCCCCACCCCAGTGAGTCCCTCTCTCTCTCTTTTTTTTCTTTGCTTTTTGGGTCACACCTGGCAATGCTCAGGGGCTACTCCTGGCTCAGGAATTACTCCTGGTGCTGCTTGGGGGAACCATATGGGATGCTGAGAATCGAACGTGGGTTGACCGTGTGCAAGGTAAACCCTACCCACTGTATTGTCACTCCAACCCTGCGAGTCCCTCTCTTGACCCATCCCTGGAACATGAACCAAGGGTGTTCGCTGCCACTTCCTGTTTGGGGTGGGGAGCCGAGTTCCCAGAAGAGCAGTGTGTGGAGCCCAGCTGAGGCCAAGGAAGCTAATGGATCATTTCTGAGCCCTGTTCATTGTACCTGTACCCCTTCAAGCCTTGCATTCCTCCTCACAGTGGATGTCCCTAATTCATTTATTTTCACTGTAGCTGCATGCTCCCCTGCACCCTTCCAAGCCTCACATCCCCCCTCAGTGGATATTCCTGATTCATTTCTTTCACAAGTAACACGTGGAAGTCATTCTGGTGACAGAAAGAGCCAGATGTGACTGACTCTACCAGTTGTGTGGCCTTGGGCAAATCCTTCCCCCCTCCTCCCTGACTCAGTTTCCCTGCTTTTCTCTGTGCTGCAAAGAGCAGGAAGGTGGGGCTCAGGCCTTGGCCCTTGTGATTCACCCTGAGAGGAGAAAGTGTTCTTTTAAGGTCAGGTAGTACGGAGGGGGAGCAGAGTGCGGCCCTCCTATCTTGTGTGTGTGTGTGTGTGTGTGTGTGTGTGTGTGTGTTGTGTGTGTGAGGGTGTGGGGTTCAGTGCAACTGTCTCTCCAATGGCCTCTCCAAACCTTGGGCTGTGTTGGGTGGGGATTGGGCTGGGTGGGAGGGACCCTATTCCTCTGCAGTCTGGGTTCAATCTCCTTCCATGCCCTCCCTGGCCTCTCCGCAGGGACTCACCAGTTACGGCGCCAGCTGGCGGGCGGCAGTGAGGACAAGGGCACCAGCTGCCCAAAGCCTCCATGGAGGAGCCGGGCTAGGGGGCAGGAGGGGAGGGCGGGTGGGTGGGTGGATGGAGGCTGTGAGCGGAGTCCGTGACCACAGCGTCTGCCGTGTTCAGCAGCCCTCCCCGCCCCTGGCCCACACCAGTCCACACCAGCTGGGCTCTGGCTTCCTGGCCCCCTGCCCTTTCGTTCCGGCTTCAGAGGCCGGTGGATCCCATTTGGACCATCTGGGTAATGTCCTTGGGCAAGCCACTCAAGCTTTGGAGCCTCTGTTTCCCTTTTTGGGTCCAGCATCAGATAGGGTGCACAAGTGATATAGGGTCGTACTGAGGGGCTGGCTCTGCCATGTGGAATTTGTTAATTCTCTTCTCCAGAGGTCACAAGAGGAAGGGACACAAGTTGTTATCATCCCTGGTCCCCAAAACCCATCTTTGTCCTCACTCAAAGATCACTGATGTGTCCTGATTACTATGGCTAGTTCAGGAAGGAAAGTGGCCTGCAGGGCTGTACCAAATCAGTTTCTCGTATTCACTTATTATTTTTGGGGGGGAGGGTTCCATCTTGGTGATGCTCAGGGGTAACTTCTGGCTCTGTACTCAGGAATTACTCCTGGTGGTGCTTGGGGAACCATATGGGATGCCAGGGATCAAAGCTGGGCCAGTCATGTGCAAAGCAAGTGCCTTACTAGCTCTGACCAGAACATTTGTTTATTGCTACCAGTTTTCCAGTCCTGTGAGAGTGAGGGCCAACCCTTGACACAAGTGGGATAGAGGGTGAGAGAAATCTGCTCATTTGCTCAAGGTCACACAGCTGTACATAGTGACCTTGGAAATGATCCAACTGAATGGGCATTTAAAAAATTCTTTTTGGTCCACACCTGGAGATACTCAGGGGTTACTCCTGGCTCTGTGCTCAGGAATCACTTCTGGCAGTGCTCAAGGGACCATATGGGATGCCAGGGTTTGAACCCAGGGGAGCCTCCTACAAGGCAAGTGCCCTACCTGCTGGGCTATCTTTCTGGTTCCTGGGCATTTTTTTCTTCTTCAAGTGGCTTTACTTTTTTGTGTTTCTTTTGGTCACATCCAGTGATGCGTGGTGTTACTCCTAGTTCTGTTCCTGGTGGTGCTTGGGGGACCATATTGGATGCTCAAGATTGAACCCGGGTCAGCTGCATGTAAGGCAAAAGCCCTATCTGCTGTATTATCGCTTCACCCTCAAAAACATGCATTTTTGAGATGACAAGGTGCTGCTGCCTAAACATTCCACCAGCACTGGCCTAGACAACTCCCCCCCAAATATGTCATCCCACAAGGGACAGCATATGGCTAAGCCATGATTTGGAGCCAGGCCTGCTTGATCCCTCTCAGAAGGTTCCAGAAGGAGGAGAGAGATGATCTGGAACCTGCAAGGTGACTTTGGGTTCCATGCTGGTCACCCGCTACTCCCGGAATCTCCTCAACAAGGGCTGGTGGGGATGTCTCAGTGGGAAATCTCATGCCTAGCACACAGAGGGCCCTGGGTTCGTACCATTGTTCCACACAACTTCACCAGCCACTGGGGCCTCAATTTCCCATTTTGTAATAGGAGTGTAATGGAGACTTCACAGAATCTTGGCTCTGATCTCTCTGGCACGAATGCCCCAGAGAACCCATGAATGGTCAGAAAGCAGTATTGGGGCCACATGAAGGTTTGATGTCTCTTGACTGTTGTGGGTGTGCAAATGAATGCACATAAAGCCTGGCCTGGCCAGCACTGGACACACTCACTATGCTAATTTCTCCTCCCATATTTCTGCCCAACTCTGGGAACCCCTTCTCCTCCTACGGAAAAACTTTCTGCTTCCTTTCTTGTCCCTTGTCTGACAGGTGGAAAATGAATGGGCTCACCTGTCACAAAGCCCAGTTTGAATCCCAACTTTGCTTCTTTTCTTCTCCTTTTTGTTTTTGGGTCATACCTGGCAGTGTTCAGGGATAATTCCTAGTGGTGCTCATGGACCTGGGTCTGCTGTATGGAGGCAAGTGCCTTACCCAATGTACAAAAGATCTGAAGCAGGCTGAGGACAAAGAGCATGGAGGCTGGGCAAACTGTGTGTGCCAAGCATGATATGATAGGCCTTCTTCAGAGATAGGGAGAAATCTCATTTGGGGGCCACACATGGTGATGCTGGGGTTACTCCTGGCTCTGGGCTCAGGGGACTATATGGTTTTTACTTTATTTTTTTCTTTTCTTTTCTTTTTTTTTTTTTTTTTTTGCTTTTTTGGGTCACACCTGACAATGCACAGGGGTTACTCCTGGCTCTGCACTCAGGAATTACTCTTGGTGGTGCTCAGGGGACGATATGGGATGCTGGGAATCGAACTGGGGTCGGCTTCATGCAAGACAAATGCCCTACCCACTGTGCTATTGCTCCAGCCCTCAGGGGACTATATGGGATGCTGGGGATTGACCCTGGGTTGACCATGTATAAAGCAAACCTTGACCCACTGTAGTATATCTCTGGCCCTGTACTATCTTTTTGGTTCCCAAACTCTGTTTTTTATTGTAGGACTGTAACAAACACTGTCCAGTGGAACTTTCTGCCATGATGCAAAGAAAGAACTAGGCCTGGGAGCCATTTAAACACACAGTTTAAACACTGTGCTCAGGAATCACTCCTGGCAGATTCCGGGGAGCAAACTAACATCAGCTGCATGCAAGGCAAGCGTCTTAGACCCTGCTCAGTTTTCTGATTTCAGGAAACGGGACTCACAGCATGGAAATTTAAAGAGCTCGGTTCCTCCTAGGAGAGTTAATAGGTGCTCAGAATAGCTCAGGGCCTACACTTAGATGTCCAGTTACTAGCTCCTTTGGCTTTGTTTTCCCAAGTGGCCTCTTCCCACCTCTCTCCATAACTTTTCTGGGAGGTGAAAACTGTGTCCTGTCACCCCCAGGGCTGTGGGGTCACAGGAAAGCCTCACCCCTGCGAAGATCCGCCCAATTGTCTTTGGTCTCTTCAGAAACTGCACGGTATCAATGTTGGCCAGATCCTGGAGGCTTTCGGGGATGTGCATGGTGATGGCTTTGCTCCTGGGGCCCCAAGAATTAGCTGCCGGGATTTGGATGCTGGCTGCCAGGTGCCACCGTCCAGGTGCTCCAGGCCCAGCCTGTGCTGTTGCTGTAAGACAAGATGGTGGATGTTGGAATCTAGGTAAGGGGTTGGGGGAAGGGGCTGCCAGAGCTCCCAGGATTAGGGGGATAGACTGGGGGTGCTGAGAAGATCCCAAGAATGAGGTAGGCGAAGGGCTCTCTGTCAGGAAGTTCAGGACTCTTGCAAGTGGGGTGAGGGTATTATGGGGGGCGTCCCAGATATGGGGCACAGGATTGAGAGGATTGCTGAGGACCCTATGAGTTGGGGTACAGGTCATGGGTTCTGGAGAATTCGAGAGGTTGATGTCCAGGGTAAAGGAGCACATAGGGGTCTGAGAAAGGGACACGAGGGGACTTCTTTGGACCCCAGGAATCAGAAATACCAGTTGAGGAGGTTGTAGGGTAAGGGGGTTTCAGGGGTCACAGAGGTGGAGATGCAGAGATCTCAGCCAGACCAGAGCAGGGATATTTGGGGGCACGCTGTCCCTGTCACAGGAGCTGGGAGACCATTGAAGGACAATGCCCCCTTTGAGAATACACCTTCCAGAAAATGGGGGGCCGGCAGGGAGAGCCCATAGGAGGTCTGAACCTGAAGAATCCCCCTCTAGGACTGGGGACATGACAGGAGCCTAATGAGGAACCCAGGGGCCTCAGAGTACATGTTAAGGTGGCCTAGTGATTTGGGGGTATTTTCGTAGACGAAGGGCTGCTTGTTAGAATCCAGTTCATCTTCAGGAGGAGCTCGAGCGCATCTCCTCAAGTTGAAGGGTCTGTTGTGTACGTGTGTGGGAAGGGCTGGATCTGTCCCCTGGGAATCAAGGGGCCAAGGATGCGCCACTCAGCTACCTTCTGAGAATCGGGCTCTTTCCTTTAAAGACCAGCAACAGGAGTGCTGGGGCTCTGGGACGCTGCCTACTAAGCGGCCCTCCTCTGGAGATCCGGGGTGCGTGCCCTGGAGGCCGCTGTCCCTAGCACCGCCCTCCCCTTCTGGTCCTTGGAGCCACCTCAGTCTTCTTCCCCTTCCGCTTTTTCCCGCCTTTTCATTTCTCCACAGGTGATTGGCTACGCCAAGTCCCGCCCCTCTCTTTCCCCGCCTCTTTAGGAGAGACAAGAGCCGGGGCGTGGCCTCCGCGGACGTTTGGTCGCCGGCCGTTGGCGGGCGGTGCACGCGAGCCCCGCCTCGCCCCGCCCTCCCGAGAGTCTCGCGAACGTCCCGCCTCTTTCTCTTTGAGGCGCGCGGACAAGGAGACACTTCTGCTGCGCCTGCGCCAAGACCAGGCTAGGCCGCGGAGCAGGCTGCGCATGCGTACTGACGCGGCACTGGAGGACGGGGCAGCCCGCAGTGACTCAGGTTCTGCGCATGCGTCTTACTGTCAACTGAAGCCGAACGCGGGGGAGTGAGGTGGGGGCGCTCGCAGAAAGCCTTCCCGCACATGCGCAGGAGGCTCAATGACAATCAAGCATTGGTTAAGGTGAGGGTGCGGGCGTGGGATTGCATGGACCGGGAGGGCGGCCCAGCACCCTATGTAGCCAGTCTGAGCATTTGCTGTGTTCCTAAGATCCGCCTCGCCGCCCAACCCTGCAGAAACCAGTGATAACATTATAGGGTCATTAGACCCGCAACACCCCCGCCCAGTACCAAAGACCTGAGACCCTCGCCTTCTCCCCCGACTTTGGCCCACAGGGCAGTGTGGGAGGGAACTAGCATGAGGGGCTCCGAGGTGGGTGGAAGGGCTCTGCGCCCTGCCTGGGGTATGGACGGCCTCTGAAGGTTGGAGTGCAAGTAGAGAGGATGCTGATGGCCCTGAAGACCGCTGACCCCTGGCTGTTTCCCTCGTTTAGGCTCTGGGGAAAGGAGCTGGCCATGCAGCACGTGACCCGGGAAGTCTGGGCAACCAGGGTTCGAATATGGCCCCTGTTGCTCGGGTCCCCCAGGGCTCTGTCGTCGTTGGCAACCAAGATGGGGGTGTACCGCAAGATCTGGAGCCCCACGGAGCCCCGCGAGTGGGCCCAGCAGTACCGCGAGCGTTTCATTCCGTTCTCCAAGGAGCAACTGCTCCACCTCCTGATACAGGTACCACAGGGCCAGGGTCCAAGAGCCTGGGGACTACAATTCCCGGCATGCACTGCGACAGTAAGCCCCTAAACGCTGTCCTCGGCGGGCAGGGTTCCTCCTGGGAGTTGTAGTTCTACATACAGTCTTCCCCTCCTTAGCAAACAGGAGAGTGGGGGCTGAAGAGACAGTTCAGGGATTAAGGAGCTGACCTTGCATGAAGGAACTGACCTTGCATGGAGGAGCTGACCTTGCATGGGGCCTGCCGGGTGTAATCCTGGCACCACATATGGTCCCTAGAGAACGCAGGGAATTGAGCCCTCAACACTGCGGGCTGTGGGCCCTCAGACAAAACAACAAAAGAAAGAGTACAGATGGGGACCGAGCGACAGTACAGTGGGTAGGGGGCTTGCCTTGCACTGTTCAATCTGGGTCTCATCCTCGGCACTGCAGTATGGTCCCCCAAGCCTGCCAGGAGTGTTCCCTGAGTACAGAGCCAGGAGCCCGGTGTGGCTCCAAAAAAAAAAAAAGGAAAGAAAAGTGGGAATAGCCTGGGGGTTGGGGATTTTGGGGTACAGTCTTGGACACTTTGTGGATGGGGGCTGAGATCACTGTGTATACCAAGCCATAAATGTCAGCACCATTGTAAATACATTACCTACTATAACTGTATTTAGCTGTAAAAATTGTTTTAAAAAGAAAGAAACTAATATACCTACTAAGGTGATTGGTGAGGGGCCTGAGATAGTCAAGGAGGTTAAGGTACTTGCCTTGCACACAAAGCTGACCCAGGTTTGATCCCGGGCACCCTATGGGTCTGCCAGCCTCCACTAAGAATGTTCCCTGAACGCAGAGCCCTGAACACTGCTGGGTATGACCCCCAAACCACAAAGACAAGAGAGACAGTACAGTGGGTAGGGTGCTTGCCTTGCATGGATTGATCTGGGTCTGATGCCTGACACCCTATCTGGTCACCCATGTGTGCCAGGAATGGCTGATTGCAGAGCTAGGAGTAAGCCCTGAGCATCACTGGGTGTGACTTTCCAAACAACAACAAACTAAAAAGAGATGTTGCTGCCTCTGTCCACAGGACTTCCACTCCAGCCCTATGCAGAAGGCAGCTTTGGAGGCGTTTTCAGCCCACATAGATTTCTGCACCCTGTTCCACTACCAGCGCATCCTGACTGAGCTGCAGGTAAAGATGCTGCCCTCTGCCCTGGCATGCTTTCCCCTCTGTTCATTCAGCAAACATTCTCTGAGCAAGTTCTCAGAGCCTGACCCCACTATAAGCACAGGAGGCCCTAGCCATGCCAGGACTGAGGTAGAAAGCCTAGTGCCCCGGGTGGTTAAGTACCACGAAGAACCACGAAGTTGAGTATAGACGTAAAGAGCAGGACAGTGGTAGGGAAGGCCTGAGTTGGACCATGTAGTCAGGGATGGCTTCCCTGAGGAGGTGGCGGGTGAGTTCTGGTGGCAGCGAGACAGCGAGTGAATCTAATTGATGTTTATGGGGGTAGGGGAGGAGGAGAAAATAGAGGGATGAGCTGGGTCCAGGGGTTGGAGGAATCGCCCAGGTACCCCTGGAGGTGAGATTGTGGTGGAGAAGGGGTGCAGGCAGTGAGATGAGGGCGGGGAGGCAAGCGGGTAAATTGTGGCCGGCTTGTGGGCTTTTGCTTTGATTGTGTGTGAGGTAGGGACCATGGAAGCCTCTGCAGGGGAGGGACTGAGTTGATGGCGCTCTAATGGGCTCCCAGTGTGGGACAGGCTGTCCCTGACGGGAGGCCAGCTAGAGGCCTGTCTGGTGAGACGGTGACAGTGATCAGGTGCTGAGTGTTGGGAAAGCCTTTGCCCTGTAGATGCAGAGACAGGGGGTAGAGGGGAGGGGTGGCCTGCTTCTCCATCTGGGGATCCTAGGACAGGTGGGGCCAGAGACCAAGGTCAGGAACATCCAGAGCTCAGTTTTGGGGTCGGGGTCATGCCTGGGTGTTCCTGACTCTGTGCTCACAGGTGACCCCTGGCCCTGTTCAGGGATCCTCGTGCTAGTGCTAGGGATTGAACTAGGGCCTGTGGGTCGCAGGTATCTTAATCCCTATCTTAATGAACTATCTAGACCCAAGAGTTAGACCCAGGAATAGGATGGGCTGAAGAGATAGTACCACAGTAGGGCCTTGGCTTTCCATGTGGCCCACCCGGGTTCGATTCCCAGATGATCTCCGAGACCACAAGGAGTAAGCCCTGAGCATCGCCAGGTGTGCCCCCATACTCCCAAATGAAGTTGACTGAAGAATTGGAGCTGCCAGATGGAGAGAGTGTGGGGGTTCAACAGAGGAATCTGGAATTGATCCTGGCTTGGGAGCATACCAGGCATATGCCCTGTACTATCTCCTGGCCCCAGTCCAGAGTTATTATTGGTCTGAAGGGCCATTCATTACATAGACTGGACACTCTGAGCAACAGACCTTCCCTGTGACCCGTGGCTACATGAACCATTGTGTGGGAGGAACCCAGCCCCAAGCATTTATCAGACAGGACCTTTCCCTGGTTTTGGGGTTCCTTCCAGAAGTGATTTGTTTGGGCTGCGCAGGGCATGGGTGGGTTTGGGTCACTCTAGTCTGCCCGGCTCTCCCTTCAGTACTCGCTGCAGCCCACTCTGCCCTCCACTGTCCTGCCCCCATATGCCTGGATATCCAGGTTCAAGTGGACTCTCACCCTGGGCCTCAGAACTTGGGGGTGGCCAGGCTCTGTGCTGTTGTTGAGTTGTTGACACGGATGTGTCCTGGTGTCCTGGGAGATTACCTGGGAGGATCCTGCGGGGGGGGGGGGGGGGGGGGGGGGGGAGGGGTGCAGCCTATTTCTGTGGGTGGGACCGGTGAGCAAAGTCCTTGCAAGGAGCGGCAGGGGCAGGAAAAGAACCCGCCCAGCTCTTGGCTCTTGGCACCACGAGCCACGTGGAGGTCTAAGGAACAGTTGGTGCAAAGGGCCGGAGGCAGGCATGAGGGAGGGGCAGGTCCCCTGGGGAGAGAAGCAAAGAAGGAGGGTCACAGAGGGGTTCTCAGGACTTACTCCTGACTCTGCACTCAGGGTGATCTCCTGACCCTATGCAGTGCCGGAGATCGAACCCGGGTCGACCGCGTGCACGGCAAGCACCTCGCTGGACTAGCTGTCTGGCCTCAAGTGTAGACTTTGATTCCGCCGATCCTATCTATGGGAGCTGGACCGACTCTGCGCTGGAGGGAGAGGCGCTGGCGACCGGCGCCCTCTGGTGGTCACACAGGGAATAGTCCGGGTGGGGCTGGACCCTGGAGCCCCTCTGGGGCCAACACAGACCCCGGCAGGGGGTTTCGGGATCTATAATTCTGGCTGGCCCAGTGAGGTACGGGTCCGCGAGGGTCTTGTGGCTCACGATGGTCCCGACAGGCTGAAGGGCTGGTGTGAGAGAGAGGGTGTGGGCCCTGGTGCCTGGGTAGGGTTGGGGTGTGCAGGACCTGGTTTGGGACATGGCACTGTGGGGCACGGTGCTGTGGGGACTTGCAGCGGCTCTGGCTTGGGATAGATATCTAGGCTGGAGGCCGAAGGCTGGGGGTTGGCAGGATGCAGCGGCTTTGGGAGAACCCTGGGGAATGCCTGGGGGAGAAGATAAGCCCCAGACGTGCCCCCTCTTTCTGCAGGTGCCTGCACCAGGCCTGGAAGCAAGCAGGGGCAGCCTGTGGGCAAAAGTGGGGTAAGGCACCAGCCTCACGGATTCTCTCCGGCTTTCCTTCTCTCAGGCTATGTATGACCCCATCAACCCAGACAGAGACACCCTGCATGAGTCTTCGCTCACGGACCCACAGCGTCTGGCCAACGAGCGGGAGGTGCTTCGGGCTCTGGAGCCCCTTCTGGACCAGGCCAACTTCTCCCCACTGTCCGAGGATGCCTTGGCCTATGCGCTGGCCGTCCACCACCCGCAGGATGAGGTCCAGGTGTCTGCTTCACAACTCCCAGGAACCCTTGGAGCAGGGGCGGAGCCCTGGGGTGGCAAAGGCTGCCGGAAGTTGTAGTCCAGATAACAGGGGCTGCCGGGAGTTGTAGTCCAGAACATGGCACGTGCCACTGGCACAAAATATTCTTCGAGGCCAACAGAATTATAATAAAAATATTGAAATTGGGCTGGGGATGTGGCTCAGCGGTGGGAGAACATTTGCTTTGCAAGTGTGAAGTTTGGGCATCAGTTCCCAGCACACCATGGCCCCTCGGGCACTGCCAAGAACAATTCTTAATCCCTGAGCTGAGAGTAACCACTGAGCATTGCCAGGTGCAGCCCCCACAAAACACAAGACACAAACTAAATAGGGGTCGGGGCGAAAGTACAGCGTGCAGGGCATTTGCCTTGTACGCAGCCGACGTGCTTTCAATCCCTGCATCCCATAAGGTCCCCTGACGTCACCAGGAGTAAGTTCTGAGCACCGCTGGGTGTTGTCTGCCCATCTCCAAAAAAGGCATTGTAATATGATTGGGCTGTGTGGGACAAGAGCCTGCAGACATGGCCCGACCCTGGGGACTGGTGATCCTGGTGGGAGCAGGGGTAATATGATATGCACCCCATGCTCAGTGTCTGCCTCTTTCACCCCCTGGCAGGTGACAGTAAATTTGGATCAGTATATCTACATTCACTTCTGGGCCCTGGGGCAGCGTGTTGGGCAGATGCCCCCGAAGCTCAGTGCAAATTCCCGGCGCGATTTCTTCATCAGGTCGCCGCCCGCGGAGAGGTGAGGCAGTTCTTGTGTCCTCGATGTGGCAAAAGGGAGCGAGGGTAGAGTCGAGAGGGGACTGACAGGTCAGTGTGGGGTCAGAGTGTCCGGGACCTGGACGGGGGTGTTGGGGTGGGCCTTCCAAATGTTACCTTCCCAAGGAGAGTAAGAAATTCTTATTCATTTTTGTTTTCCTTTGGGGCCACCCCTGGCTTCTGACTCTGGACTTGGGAATCATTCCTAGTGTGAAAACCTTACGGGACGCCATGGATGGGTGAACCCTGGTCCACGGCGCAAGGAAAACGCTCTCCCTGCTGACTATGGCTCCGGCCCTGCTCCTATTTCTCTGAGCTGCTCATAGGAGATAGTGTCATTCTTTTGTCTCCCCTGATTTTCAGAGCACTCCCATGCTTGCCAACGTGTGTGTGTGTGTGTGTATATATAATTTTATTTTATTTATTTATTTTTTTCCCAGCTCTCATTAAGCACCTGGAATCCCAGGAAACCTCTATGTCCAGCATCAGGAGATTGCCTTCTTTTTTTGGGGGGGGAATCACTCCTGGTGGTGCTCAGGGGACCATATGGGATGCTGGGAATCGAACCCAGATTGGCCACATGCAAGGCAAATGCCCTACCTGCTGTGCTATCGCTCTAGCTCCCTTTCTTTTTTCTTTTTGGGTCACACCCAGCGATGCACAGGGGTTACTCCTGGCTCTGCACTCAGGAATTACTCCTGACGGTGCTCGGGAGACCATATGGGATGCTGGGAATTGAAGCCGGGTGGACCGCGTGCAAGGCAAATGCCCTATCTGCTGTGCTATTGTTCCAGCCCCGGGATTGCCTTCTTTGATGGATCCCTCATTGCTGGGCACCCAGCTTACTTCTCCTGTATCCCCTATTGTTGGGCACCCAGCTTAGTTCCTCTGGATCCCCCGTTGCTGGTTGCTGGGCATGGGCTTAGTTCCCCTGGCTTCCCACTGAGTGTCTGAGGCCATAGTGCCAGTGAGAGTCTCTGGGCGGGGAGCTTTCAAGGGGGGCCACCCTGACCGACCTCCCTGCCCTTCTCCTTGCCTTCCAGGAGATACTTTAAGCGGGTGGTGCTCGCCGCCCGCACTAAACAGGGGCGCCTGGTACTGAAGAGCTTCAAGGACACACCCCTGGAGGGTCTGGAGCTGTTGCTGCCGGAGCTGAAGGTGCGCACGCCGCGTCTGCAGCGTGCGCTGCTCAACTTAACGCTGCTGGTCTCCGGCATGGCCTTCTTCGTCAACGTGGGCATGGTGGTGCTGTCTGACCTCAAGATGGCCACGTCGCTGCTGCTGCTGCTCTTCGCTGTCTTCATGGGCATGCGTGCCTCCAAGGTGCGGGTTCCACTCCCCCCACCCCCACCCCTGCCTCTTCTCTGTGTGGGGGGGCATCAGGCCACCTCTGTGGGTATTACTTCATGCGCTAACTCGGCTCCATGCTGCACCCCACTTCCCCTCCCCCTTCTTTTCTCTTCTTTCCTCTCCCTCGCCCCTCCCTTTCCTTTCTCTCCTCTCTCCTCCCTCCCCTCTGCATCCTTCCCCTCACTTCTTCTTCCCTTCCCTCTCTTCCCTCCCTCCCCCTTTATTCCTTCTTGTCCCTCACTTCCCCTTTCCCCTCTTCCCCTCTCCCTCTCCTCTTTTCCATCCCTCGCCTCCCTGCTTCCCTTCTTTGATTTTGCTTTTGTTTTTTGGGTGGTATTTGGGGCTTACTCCAGGCTCTACACTCAGGGATCACTCCTGGCAGGCTTGGGGAACCATATGGGGTGCCAGGGATCCAGCCAGGGTGGGCCACATACAAGGCAAATGCCTCACCCACTGTACTGTCACTCCCTCCCCATCCTTCTTTACCTCATTTGTTCTGTTCCACCTTGGGCAGATTTATTTCTTTTTTTGGTGAGGGTCAAACCTGGGTGCTAGGGAACACCCAGCCTGGGGGATAGGGGTTGTGGGATGTGCTCTAGGTACCTTGCAGTCCCTGGTGCAGTCCCAGGGGGCTCTGTGGGCTTCCCTCCGGCCCTTGAGTCCTCCCCCGTCCTCTGCAGGTTTCTTGGTCTCAGCTTCCAGTTCCTCCTGGTGCAGGTGTGCAGGCCAGTGAGCGGAGGTGAGGGAGGATGAACCTGAAGGTTCCTGGGCCTAAGTGCAGATGGGGTCACCTGGAAATACTGGCTTGGAGAGGAACTTTGGCAACTTGCTAAAGGGATTGTGGTTGTAGAGCCAGATGCCTGAGTTTGAATCCAGCTCACCTATCTTCTAGCTCCATGACTTTTTGTTTTGTTTTGTTTTGGGGTTCCACCTGAGGATGCTCAGAGGTGACTCCTGGCTCTGCACTCAGGAATTACTCCTGACAGTACTCAGGGACCATATGGGATGTTGGGGATTGAACCCGGTCATCTGCGTGCAAGGCAAAAGCCCTCCCCACTGTGCTATCGCTCCTGTCCCCCAGACCTAACTTCTGAAAGTGGGGGTTGTGATCCCATATGGTGTTGAGTAATTGAATGTGGGTGTTGTGGAAAATTTGGCAACAGTAAAAGATTTTTGGGATGTTCTGATTGATTCAGAAACAAGCCCGTGATGGATCTAAGGTGTTTTGAGCATGTCTGACAAGGGTCAAGAGGTGACAGTCTCCAAAGCCCTGACTGAAGAGAAGCAGCAGGACTTTTGTTCTGATTACTATTACAATTGGGCCGTTGTTCTCGGCATCTCTGTTATAGTCACCAGGGGAGCTGTTTGAGACTTGCTGCCTCCTGGGTTCTAGCCCAAATGGACAGAATTGGAAACTCTGGGCGGGGGCCCAGGAAGCTATTTTTAACCAGCTCCCTGCCTGATTCCACTGAGTGTGCCATTGTGGCCCGCCTCGCACAGTTGTGCAGGTTGTTCATCATCCAAGTCTTCACAGCCTTGGCCCCGTTGGGGGCCGTCCCTTGCCCTTGCTGACCAAACGCCATAACCTCTTCCCCAGCTTGGTTAGAAGCTGCTCTTCACCGAGTCTTCCCAGGATTGTCATCCACCCGGAAATTGTGGGTCTGGTGTGAGGCATCTGCCTTTCGATCTCTCCCTCGTGGCTTCATTAGTTTTCAAGCTGCTTCCTTCCATCCCAGCGGAACATGGAGGACGGGTAATAAATCCCGCAGATAAAAGCCAGGCAGTGCTGGCTGAGAAGGGCTGCGTGGGGAGTGGAGGGGGGGCGGGTTCCTGCCAAGGACCCTGGAGGCCAGGAGAGAAGCTGGGGGGTGGGGGGGTTGAACCTGGAGGAGGGGCTGTCTGCTAGCCTTGAGGGGCCTCCTGGGCTTGGGGCCTGGGGGAGGCTGGAGATATGAGGCCCCAGAGGGTCTTGAGTAGAGTGAATGAGCATGGAGGCCTGGCTGGTCCCAGTGACATGAAAGGCATTGAGGCGGGCAGAGAGAGGAGGGGTGTGGAGCTGGGGGGAATGCCTGAGGCCCATCCTAGGGAGACCCTGTCTTTCCACTCATTGGCTGGTCCTGTGACCCTGTTAACTGGTGAATTTAGTGCCCTCTGGGCTGAGTCTCTGATCCTGGCACGTAGTTGGGGCTCCCCTGCCTCCCTGCATAGCTGCTTCCTCCCTGCCTGCTTCTGGCAGGTGCTCAGGTTCTCACTCCTGCATCTCACCACATCACCAAAGGTTTCTCTCCCAGTTGCCAGACCTCAAATCCTCTTCCCCCAGCCCCATGTCTCTACTGCATGTCCCCTGTTCTTCATCTCAGATGGGCACCCAGCTCAGACCTGGCGACCCGTTTTGCTGCTGGATTGTGGGCTGAGGATGCTCATTTCAAAGGCAGAGTGGGGAGAAATCGTTAATAGTCACAAAGGTTTAAATGCCTCTTAGAGGCTGGGAACTTGTCCCAAGTGTTTTATCAACTTCCAGGCCTTACTGTCCCCACTGCGGGTTCCAGACAGCATGACCTGAGGACTCAGCACCCAGCCAAGTGCTCAGGGCTGTGAGATGCAGAGTTGGGACTGGCTGGGGTGTAGGGCCTAAAACTGACAGCTCTGTACATTTTATGTGGGTGAATGAATAGAGGAATTTTGGAGTGATCCCCAGAAAGCACTGGTGGCCTCTCATTTTCTCTTCTCAGCTAAGGACACTGAGTGGGGAAGGGGCAATGGTGGAGAAGGGGTTCAGGGTGAGGAAGGGGGCAGCCTAGAAACATCTGGGCCCCAGATCCTCCCCTTTATTCCTTCAAAGCAGCTTTTTATTTATTATGGGTTAGCACTTCTCTTTACAAGGTAACATTTAATTAATTTTTTTCTTGGGGGGGGGCATATTCAGCAGTGCTCAGGGCTTCTGGCTCAGCACTCAAGGATCACCCCTGGTGGGGCTCAGGGGACCCTATAGGATTCTAGGGATCAACCTAGGTTACTTGCAATGTCAAGTGCCCTACCCACTGTACTGTCTCTCCAGCCCCTATTTTATTGATCATTATTGGCTCAGGATAGGACCCAGGGCCTTACACATGCGAGCCATGTGCTCAACTGCTGGCCTCAGCGTAGTTCTAAACCCCTTATTTTTTATCATAGGAAGTTTAAACCACACAGAAATAAACCATAAGATGGCTCCCATGTGGCCAGTGGGGAGTCTTTCCAGTTAGTGATAGGCTGTCCCTCTGGGCCCAGAGACCAGCTCTCCTGCTTGCAGGTCTTGAAGCAAATCTTAAGACATTCCAGCTGGAAATACTTCTGTGTCTAAAAGATCAGGATTGATTTTTTTTTTTTTTCACAAAACCTCATAGTAAGGAAAAACTCAGTGGCAAAAACTCTTTTCTGGCCTGGAAATCTCCAAACCAATTCGCAGTCCGTGACTGCAGAGCAAACCAGTGCCTTGGATGCATAAGTGATTGTAGACGCTGGCCCTGCACCGCGGCCAAGCCAGTTTTGATTCCTGCGCCTCATATGGTCCCGCACCACCTCCAGAAGTGATCCCTGAGCAAAGAGCCAGGAGTAAGCCCCGAGGACCGCATGGTGTGAGCCCCAAACCAAACCAAACCAAACCAAACCAAACCAAAAGCAAAACTATCAAAAACTGGCGGGCCTGGAGCAATGGAGGGAGCGGCGGAGTGATGGAGGGGAATTCCGCCTGCAGATGTTCGGGCAGAGGCGCAACGTGCAGGCGCTGGAGCTGGCGCACATGCTCTACTACCGCAGCACGTCCAACAACTCGGAGCTGCTCTGCGCCCTGGCTCACCGCGCGCAGGACGAGCACACCAAGGAGACGCTGCTGGCACACAGCTTCCTGGCAAGGCGGCCTGTGGACTTGAGTGACCAGCCTGAAGGTAAGCCCCGCCCCTCGAGACCTCGCCCACGCAGCCACATCGTGGCCGCACCCACGACCACGCCCCACCGCGGCCCCGCCGCACCCACAACCACGCCCCACCGCGCCCCGCCGCACCCACGACCACGCCCCACCACGGCCCCGCCCCCACCCTCGGCCGCACCGGTGGCCACGCCCATCTACAGCGGCTCCCCCGGCTCCCCAGCCTGGAATAGGCTTTTCCTAGTTTCCCAAGCTCCACCCCCTCCACCCCGTCCCTTCCCCCTCCCCTCAACCCCTCCTACTGGTGAAGCTGATTGATTTCGGAGATGATCCTGACCCTCAGCAGACACGACTTTTGAACCACTTGAACCCATCTTCTGGTCTTGATGGATGTGGGCCCTCCCTGGGGTGACCTCCCTCTTCCTGACCGCTAGCCGGAGAGGGGTCTTGGATCAACTGGTCGTTGTGGTATGATCCCTTTTGTCCCCACACCCTGAGCACTCCTCATGTACGAGCCCACTTCTCCCCAAAGAGATCCTGGTCCCCTTCCTGTTGCGTTCCAAGTGGTCCCCTTCGCAGTACGAGACCTTCCCCCTTTGAATCTGGTTCCCCGGTTTCACTCCCCTTCTAGGCTTCTCCCACACCCCTCATATTCCTGGCCCCGCATCTTCCCCACTGCCCCTTTCCAGCCCCAGGCAGACCTCTCATACCAGCCTTTCCCCCGTGCCCCCATCCCCCCGCAGAGACTTCCCGGTGGCTCCAGTCCGAAGTGGAGAATTGGCTCCTGACCCAGTCAGGTTTTGAGGTGACCTTCAACGGAACTCGGGCTCTGGCCCACCTTCAAGCCCTGTCCTCCACAACCGAGATGTACCCGCCCCCGGGGCTCCCCACACTAGATCCCCTGGCTACTACAGTCCCCCCGGCCGCACACAGCAGCGGTAACCCTGGACAGAAATCTCTCTACCCAGCCCCGCGCGACCACCTGGTTGGGCACTGAGGCCCTCCTCCTGCGAGACAAGCTATCAATCACTGTTGCTACGCTTTGCCCCGCCCCAATCTCCAATTACAGGCGAGCCGTTACATTTATTCTTAAAGCTGCCATTCAAGGCATCCCTTTGATCGGCCCGCCTCTTTTGGTGATCAGCCAATCCAAACTTTATCTTTTTATTTCCCCCCCCCCCCCCCATTAACCTCCAATCATGGTTTGACTGAGGAGTGTCAGCCAATCACAGCTGCTCAACGTTGCAAACCACCAGGCACCGTTGTTCAGCAGTGCCCTCCCGAGGCTATATATCATTGTCTTTTTATCCTGCACTGGGCAAGTTGCCCATCATGTTCACCAAGGCGGAGCTCCAGCCGGCAGCCAATGAAAGTCTTATAGCCCTGCTCTCTGGGCTAATTGCCAGTGACAGCTGCTGGGCACCATCAACCTGGAGCAGCCAGTTGTCTGCAAAGAATTTCTAAAGGAAACCTGATCTTCCTAGGATTTTTAGACCATCTTGTCAGCTGCTGATTAGCTTGTCCGTGCTGAAGGGGTTGGGTGCCTTGTGCCAGGAACAAAGCTGTGGACTAGAAGGAAGACCCTACTCACTCCAAGACCTACTTCCACTTGGGCCCTAAGGACCTCAGGTGCCTTCCCTAACCCAGGTCTCATCATTTCTACAGAAACTACCTTTGTCTTGATCTTTCCGGCACCCACAGTCGGTGCAATATTTATTGGTCTCTCCATTTCTCCCCCACCCCATCTCCAAAGGAAATAAAGCATATTTAGTAAATTCGGGTGAGTGGGGAAGCAGCAGGTCTTGGAAGAAGATGCCGAAAGTTGAGGAAATGCTGTGGTTGGGCGGCCTGTAATCCTCAAGTCTGGGCTCGAAGTTGGCAGTTGATGCAGTAGAGCGGAAGAGGAGCCAAGAGGAGGCCTGATCCCTAAGGAGAGGCTCCGGTTTCCTGGCAAGGCCCGTCTTCAGACTGAGGGGGACTGGGAAGCTGTGCACAGCTGTGCAGATTGTTTGCTGCCCAAAGGCACACAACCCTGTAATGGATTGTGTCAAATCCAGCCTCCCCTCCTCCCTCCCACATGTGTCCAGATGTGCTGGGTAGGCTTGGGGGGAGAGAGGGTGCCAAGCTAGTTTTGGCTAAGGGGTCATATGGTCTCGGTGACACTTTTCCAGTGTTGTTCCCCCTCTTCCCTCCTCTCTCCCATCCAAGAGGGTAGTAATCTAGGACACAATTGGGGGTGCTTTGTTTCTCCCGGTAAAAATGGTAGGTGCCCAGCCAGGTTCTCTTCTATGAAAGGTAGCAGTGTGTGCATGGGATAGCTGAAAGGGTACATGCACTGATGCTGAAGGTTGGGATTTAATCTCTGGCACGGCACTGACTCCTTGAGCACTGATCCCAGTATAGCCCCCTGAACACCACAGGGTGCAGCTCAACACCCCCCCTCCCACAAGGGGGAGCTATAGGCCAGGTAAGTTAGGAACATCAGAAGAGGCAGCATCTGGAGGTGTGGGCTGGATATGGGGTTCTAAGAGGGAAATGGAAAAGCATTTAAAGGCTGAGTGCTGGAGAAAGAGTCAGTGACTTGGGGAGGCCTCCGTCTGAGAGAAGAACCAGAGACCTGGTTACTGAAATTCTACACCTGGAAGGGATGAGTCTTTGGGGCTCTTTTCTGGAGGGGGTCTCTCCTTGCTGTGCTTGGGGGACCACGCAGTGCCTGAGATCTCTGTGCGTGTGTGCGTGTGTGTGATACAAGGCAAATACCTTAACCCCTGTGCTATCTCTCCCCAGGTTTTTAGATTGTGGGCAAAGGCGGCAGGAGGTCTGGATTGAGACCATTTTGGAGGGCGCTGCGGATGGGTGCCCTTCCCAACTGCAGGAGCAATCAGACATGAGCAGCTCATGTCTCGGAAAGATGGAAGGCAGGCAGGCAGAGGCGGATGTATAAGATTTTATTCTTAAAACAAGGCGAGGGACGAAGACTCGGATGAGGCGGTGGGAACCTGAGCGAGCTGGGGCTCCGGGTGAGACGGAGCGCTCACTCTCGCTTCCGCAGGTGGATGTAGATGACCCCACTGACCAGGGCGAGTGGGAAGGCCACCCAGGCCAGAGCGAAACAGTAGCCGAAACTGCCGCCCGGTGGGAGCTTCGCCAGGATCTCCTTGGCGTGAATGGCGTAGATGAGCGCCCCGGTAAACACGGCCACGCCTGTGAGGGGATGGGGATCACGGGTCACCGGGGTCCGCCCGCGGGGGACTTCGTTTCCCAGCAGCCCCCAGGTGGAGGGAGGCTGCGGGAGCGCGAGCACGCAGCGCCGCCGCCTTCTGGGAGTTGTGGTTCGCTCCCGTAGTGCCTGCGAGGAGTCTGGGAGCCCGAGTCAAGCTCTCTAGTCCCCGCTAGGAAATAGGACGTTGTCATCCAGCCATTCGAGGGCAATATTTGGGTGTCTTTTCGTAAGTCAAACATGCAAATAGTTTATACAGCAAGACAGACGGTTTTGGAGGAACCTCGGAAGAACAAGTGCCCCAGACTGCGAAAAGTAATTAATTTAGTCTTCTGCATCTGAAGTCTCCTGCACAACCCCGCTCCAAATTGAAGAGCACACATATGCCCCTGAAATCTCTGATACACAGAAGGTCGATTAGAACCACCAGCAGGCGGCCATCGTCAATATAAGACCCTGCTACATGGGACCAGAGGGGTAGTATAGTAGGTAGGCGTGCGACCGGCCGGGTTCCATCCCTGTCATCTCATAAGGTCCCCCATACACCACCAGGAATGGTCCCTGAGTGCAGAGCCAGGAGTAAACCCTGAGCATTGCCAAGTGTGGCTCAAATAACAAAAAGAAAACAAAAAGGCTACTACAGTGATTTCAGGGGGCTCTCTGGAAATGCCTGTCCTGCTCCCCTCTATCACTTGATATTTTTTTTTCTTTTTTGGGTCACACCCATCAATGCACAGGGTTACTCCTGGTTCATGCACTCAGGAGCACCTGGCGGTGCTCAGGGGACCATATGGGATGCTGGGAATTGGACCAGAGTCGGTTGCGTGCAAGGCAAACGCCCTACCCGCTGTGCTATCGCTCCAGCCCCACCCCCTCTATCACTTGAATCTGAAGAATTTGCCCACTTCCCCTTCCCTGAACCTGGCTCCTTGGAACCGAAGCGCTAGCCCACACTGCCCACTGCCTCTCCGGTGACTCAGACACGTGCCACAAACCACCACGGGGACTCTGAGAATGGCAACCCGGTGGCATTGGGCTGTTGAGAATTGTTTTCTGACACCAGGTGTCCATTCTCAGGACCCTAGGGAAGCCTGCCCACCCCTTTCCAGGGAACAGTACTCACTAGTGCAGAGCTGGCAGAGGCCAGTGGCGTAGAAGAGTCCTCCTCGCCTCATGGTGTAAAGCTGGAACATGAACAGGATGAAGGACAGGCAGCAGAGGATGAGTGACAGCACCATGAGCACCTGCACTGCCTTCAGCCAGCCTGCAGGAAGAGAAGAGGAATGGGCGGGGGGGGGGGGGCATCACAGGTTGCCTGAGCTCCAGCTCATGCATTCTAACCACCCCCTTCCCCAATTTAGAGTCATACAATCTTAGATACTTAGGGGTATTGCTTTAATGGGCCTCGAATCCTGCAACTTGGTTAACCTTATCAGTTCTAGAAGCCACTTGGAGGGTTTTCATCATCTTCATAAACATAAACATGGTTACATGGATAGATATTTTTACTTCCATGTATGTATATGTATGTATATATATATATATATATATATATATATATATTTGTTTTTTGGGTCACACCCGACGATGCACAGGGATTACTCCTGGCTTATGCACTCAGGAATCACTCCTGATGGTGCTTGGGGGACCACATGGGATGCTGGGAATCGAATCCAGGTCAGCTGCGTGCAAGGCAAATGCCCTATCCGCTGTGCTATGGTTCTAGCCCCATCCTTTTTCATCTTGATGCTTTTTTTCCATTTTGTTGGAGCCACTACTGGCAATACTGGGGTGTGTATGTGGGGCAGGCAGGGCTACTTCCAGCACTGCTTGGTACCCCCAGTCAGCCCCAGCCAAGCCCATACACATTCAAGGCATGTTCTCTGCCAACTGAGCCACAACTGAGCCACCTGTCCCTGAAGCATGATGCCTCAGTTCTCATTTTTGCCTGACTGCATTGGGTACCATGACAATATTGACGAGAAGTCATGAGAGCCAACATTCCCACTTTAGTGTTAGAGGGAAAACTTTTTTCTCTCTTTGCTTCACACTTAGCAATGCTCCTGGCTCTGCACTCAGGGATCACTCCTGGCAATGTTTGAGGGACCATATGGGATGCAGGGGATGGAACCCCGGTTGGCCACATGCAAGGCAAATGCCCTCCCCACTGTACTATCACTTTGGCCCAAAGTTTCATCTTTCACGTTGAGACTATCTGGGCTGCAACTCTGCAGCCTTTTAGAACCAGCTATCCCGCCTCCACTCTAGCATCTCATTGGGATCAGCCCCACAGCTTCCGAACCTTAACATGCTTCCAATCCTCCTTCCCCTTTGGAATTCACACGAACTTGTCCCAAACATCCACGCAGGACAACAGTCCCATGTCCTTAGAACTTTGAAAATATAATGCTATTTTAGAATTGTGGACATCCCCCCCACCATTTATATATTTTTTGGGTGGTTTTGGGGCCACACCTGGCTGTTCTCAGTAAGTTCTGAGAATCTTTGGTTCTCTGCTCAAGGATCACTTGTGGAGAGACTAGAGGACCATATGGGGTGCTGGGAATCAAACCCAGGTGAACTATGTGCAAGGCAAGTGTCTTACCCACCGTCCTATCTTTCTGAATCTTCCTTCCATGATTTGGTTCATTTTATTTTGGGGCTACACATGGCCATCCTCAGAACTTACTCCCTGCACTTGGGGATCACTACTGTGTGCTCAAGGGACTATATGGGGTGCTCGGGATCAAATGCAGGCCAGTCGGTGCATGGCAAGCGCCCTCCCCGCTACACTATCATTCTGGCTCCATCTTGTCTCCATTTTTACTTTTTAAAAAATTAAAAAAATTTTTAAACATTTTTTGGCTTTTTGGGTCACACCCAGCAATGCTCAGGGGTTACTCCTGTCTCTGCACTCAGGAATCACTCCTGGTGGCGCTGGGGACCATATGGGATGCCAGGGATTGAACCCAGGTCGGCTGTGTGCAAGGCAAACGCCCTACCCACTGTAAGTACTATTGCTCTGGCCCCTTGTCTCCATTATTTATTTATTTGTTTATTTATTATTAGTGAAACACCATCAGGTACAGTTGTAGACTTACAAGCTTTCATGCTTGGGGTTCAGTTATACAATGATCAAATACCCATCCCTCCACCAGTGCCCATTCTCCACTACCAAAGAAGCCAGTAGCCCTCCCACCCTCCACCCCCCGACCCCGCCCCACTTCTGTGACAGGGCATTCCCTTTTGCTTTCTCTTTCCTTTAGGGTGTTGTGGTTTGCAGTAGAAGTATTGAGTGGCCATCGTGTTCGGTCTATAGTCTACTTTCAGCACGCATCTCACGTCCCAAAAGAGTCCTCCAAACACCCTTTATTTGGTGTTCCCTTCTCTATCTGTTGTCTCATATTTTAAATCTTTATCGATTGGTCTTGACTCCTGAACCATAGAGGGAGGAAGCTTTTGGCCCATTCTCTTTAGAGCATGATCATGTTGCCCCCTAACCCCCACCCAGAGAACTGTGGCTTAAATCAGTCTCAGCAAACCTCAGTGCTGGGTGGTGTTCCCAATCCTTGGCACCTGGAAGGCGGGGAGGTGATTTGAGGTGACCCCTCCCCATTCACCTACAAGTCCCCAAGCCCCTCACCATTGTCGCTGACATTGCTGCAGGCCCACGTTTTGTTGGCATTGCTCCACGTGCAGTCGTACCAGAGGTTCAGGGACTCCTGCCCCGGGAGGGTCCACCAGGACTAGGACACACAGGGAAGTTAGGAAGAAACATGGACGCGGGGTGGGGGGGTGGGGGGGGAGTTGGAGGGAAGGGCTGGGAAAAGGAGGATAAGGGAGTGGGAAGAGGCAAAAGTGGTAGGGTAGAGAGGCCACAGAGGCAAAACTTAGAAGCGGGGCTGCGGCCTGAAGAGATGGAAGGGCTGGGGAGGGGTGTGGCCAGGGGGCGTGGCCTCGGGTGGGGCGGGGCAGGGGCTTCAGGCAAGCAGGAGACCTGCTGCTCTGAGTGGGCTTACCTTGTCCAGAGTGGCCACGAAAAGCAGAATGAGAATGAGGATGTGAAGGGCCGAGACTACTAGCAGGAGGAGCGACATGGTGGCAGTGGAAGCCTGGGGTCAGGGTCTTTAGGAGATCGCAGTTTCAAGAAGATGACCTCTGGGGGCTGGTGAGAGAACCCAATCCTGGTAGAAAATAGGCAACTGAGTCCAGACTCTTAGGTCTGAGGGAGGAAGGAGCTGGAGGATGGACCTCTGGGTCTGAGGGAGGAGGGCTGGGAGATAAATCTCTGGTTCTCAGGGAGGAGAGAGGGGGTTTGAGAGAGGAGGAGTGGGACCCCAGAGTCTGAGAGCAGGAGGGGCCGGGGGACTGGGTCCTTGAGCCCAAGGGGAGAGGGGCTAGTGGTGAGAGAGAGGAGGGGTTGGGGGTCTGGACCCCTAGACCTGAGGGAGAAGGGGCTGGGAAACTATGTCATTTGATCTGAAAGGTGGGCTGGGGACCCTCAGCTCCCCAGAGCAGACCAGGGATGGACTCTGGGTTCCACAGTAAGACGGGATTCCTCAGAGTCCTGCTCAGGCACACATGGGCCAGCAGATATACTTGCAGGTTGGCACCCTCCAGATTCAGCACAAGCTGGGGGCTGCCCCCAGAGACTGACGCCCTTGACTCACCCCACTCCTCTCCTGGAATGGTGGGGCAGGGAGGGGGCCTGGGTGAGTCATCAGTGACTCACCCTACACCCCTGCCTCCAAGCACCAGGGAAACCCCAGCCCCTGGCTATGCCCATGAGGTCTGCACCGCACCCTGCTGCCAGAGTGGTGCCTCCCCATCGCACCCCTCCACCCCAACACTTGCCGGGAAAATGGACGGAACCCCCTTATTGGAAGCAGAGGGGCTTGAGAAGGCATCCACCTCTCAGCCACCCCTCAGTGTCCACAAAGGACTTGGAGTCTGGGAACACCCCCAGATTTGGGGATGCTGCCCTCCAAAAGTGTGACTCTCAGGGTCCTAGGGGGTGGGAAGGGTGGCCAGCCCTGGGGGGAAAAAACTCCAAGAAGTTTTCAGGTGCCAGGAGCCCCAAACTCTGGTTGGGCCCCACCCCTTCCCAAATCCCCACCCCAAGTGCTGAGAGATCGCTGGAGAAATCACAAGGATTTCCCTGAACCCTGGGATCTGGGAGGGTCCCCGGCAGTCTGGGGTGTCCTTCCCAAAGTCCCGCTCTCCCGAGTCTATAAAGAAATGTGGCCAAATAACGGACTGGAAACTTACCGGAGCGGCTGAAAAGTCAGAGCTGGAGTCTGGTGCCTGCTCGGGCCTCCGTGCCCCGCCCTTCTCCTCCCTCCTTCCCCGGTCTAGGCCCCCGCCTCCCTCCCCTGCTCTCACTCTCCCGTCGTCGCTGGCTCCTCTAATGCCCAACTCACTCTCTCTCTCTCTCTCTCTCTCTCTCCCTTCCTCTCTCTCTCTCTCTCTCTCTCCCCCCCTCACCCCTTTCTGTCTCCTGTCTCAGTCCTCCCTGCCTGTACCTTCTTTCTCCTGTGCCTCCCAATATAACCCGACCCTTTTATACTCACCCTTGCCGCGCCCAGCTGAAGTCTGCAACTGAGGGAGGGCCCTGACGCTGGGGTTCCTCATTCTCTGGGCCCCCACCCACTGCCCCGGCATCTTCTGGCATCTTCTAGGGCTCCAGATGAGACGTCCTCGGAGTCATGGGGGAGGTGGGGGCGGTGCGGGGGGGGCACAGGGCGGGGAGTTTGGGGAGAACATGGGGTGGGAGCGCCTGATTCTCAGGCCACCCCTAGGGCTTTCTGGTCCTGGACCGGATGTCTATTTTCTTTGTGAGGTTTAGGATGCAGAGAGCTGGGAGTCTGGGGCAGGAGGCCAGATTCCTGTGGGAAGATGAAGGGGGAGTTATGGGGTGCTGGTAGAGTTGGCAGCCTCATGGGAAACTGAGGATGAGAAAGTGTGAAACCTTGGGAGGAGAGGGAACTGAAGAACCCCCAGCATCACCAAATCCTGCCTGGGGAGCTTTTGCCAATTATTTATCCTCTCTGAGCCTCAGTTACCTAATCTGTACAGTGGGTATAATGCTACTACGGGCGTTATAGTCTGATATGGATAATAGCTGTTTTGAGACTCTAAAGGAGGAAGGTAATACCAGGATACATTTATACTTTTCTTTTCTGTTGTTGTTTTGGGGCCACCCCCAGCCATGTTCAGTCTCTTCTGGCAGGCTCAAGGGACCATTTGGGTTGCTGGGGATCAAATTTGGGTCAGCTGTGCTCCCTGTAGTACTATCACTCAGGCCCCCATTTATACTTTTCTTCATCAAAGGTTTATTTGCATCTTTTTGTTTTGTTTGGGGGCCACACCCAGCAACGCTCAGGGACTGTACCAGACTCTGAGCTCAGGAGTGGCCCCTAGTGGTGCTGGGAGACCTTGTATAGTACTGAAGATTTGAGCCTTGATCAAAGTCAGCACGTTGACCTCTTTTTTTTTGGGTGGTGGTGGGGGGCATACTTAGGGATGCTCTGGAGTTACTCCTGGTTCTACACCCTGGAATCAGTGATGCTGATGATGCTCAGTGATTGGTGATGGAATCAGTGGAATCAGTGATTCTGGTGATGCTCAAGGGACCATATTCCCATATGGCTCAGGGATCGAATCCAGGTTGATCACATGAAAGACACACACCCTCCCAGCTGTACTATCACTTGGGCTCTTCTTGACCATTTTCAACAGGGACCCCCACCCTGTTGTTATGGGACAGTCTAAGTGCCTGGCAGAGGGGGAGACAATGCAGAGAGAACTGAATGCTAAGAGACTTGCAGGCTGATGGTGGAGATAAGCAGGGTGGGGTGGGAATGCTGCTTTAAATCTTTAAATAGGGCGAAGAGGTGACATCTCAGCTAACCTGAAGACAGGACTTTAAAGGGGACTCTTTAAAGGGCAAGCGCAGTGCAAGGGCTTAGGTTGTGTGGCGAGCAGACAGAAGGGTCAGTGTGGCTAGAATATAGGCAGCCAGAGGGAGCTGTGGGAAGGGAACTCAAAGAGTGTCCTTGAGAGCAAGGGAGGTGTTTGAATTTTATTCTAAGTGCAGCCAGAAGCCAGTGGAGGATTTGAAGCACAAGTACCAGGGGCATTTGCATTAGTGTTCACTATTTGTTATTCTTAGCAAATTAGCATGAGGATATCTGGACCTTTCTTCATTTTCTAGCCATTATCACTCAGGGCTTATTTCTGGCTCTGTGCTCAGGGAACACTCCTGGCAGGCTGGGAGGACTCTATGGGGTGCTGAGGATTGAACTGGAGACAGATGCATGCAAGGCAAGCGCTCTACCCATTGTACTATCTCTCTGACTCCTGATTTTTTTGGTTTTTAGGAAATACCCAAGACGCTTTGACAGCCATGCTGTGTGGGGATCAAAACACATTGGGGCTTGAGGGGTTCGGTATGGGTGGGTGGGATGGAACAGGGAGAATGCCACACATCTTAGTCTGTCCTAGCTCTCTGCTCCCAGCTCAGGTTCCCCCCCCCCCCCACACATTTTTGGGTCATACCTAGCTGTGTGCTCAGGGCTTACTCCTGGCTCTGCACTCAAACATTACTCCTGGAGTCCTGGAGGGCTCAGGGAACCATATGGGATGCATCAAGTCTCACATGGAGTGCAGGTGAACAGAGGTGCCCACGTGAGTCATGGGAGGTGAGAGGTGGAAGTATAGTTTTTGAGTAGAACCCAGAGATATTGGGGTCTACTCGCGGCTCAGTGCTCCTGAGCTCAAGGAACCATGCAGTGTCAGGGACTGAATAAGGGTTTCCTGCATATAAAGCAGGGCCCATTGTCCCGGGCCCACGGATGGAGATTTCACAGCGGGAATGGACTCTGGGTGAAGTTCCCCGAGTTGGAACTAGCACCAGATGAGGTATCCTGGGAGAGGAAGGCAAGGTCTCCCCCTCCTGAGCCTCCGAGGTTTAGAGTTGAGCTGAGCGCCTGTAGGCCACTTCCTCCCACAGGAAACCGCAGGCATCGGGCACACCCAGCCAGTAGGGAGCGGCGCCCACTGCCGCCAGCGGCCAGGCCACGTGGGCAGCAGCTCGCAGCCCAAGGGCCGTGCCCAGCGGAGCAAAGGGCGTGGCTAACAGGGGCGGGACCGGAAACTGGGGCGGGAAGCGAGACCACGCCCATTTCCGCCTCCCTAAACTCGCGCGTCTGTGGCGGCGGCGGTTGGGCGCGCGTGCGCAGTGAGCGACCAGGCCCGGCCCGGCCCGCTCCCACTCTCGCTCCGAGGCCTTGAGTCACGGGCTCCATCGGCCGAAGATGAGCTGCCCGCGGCCCTGGCTCTGCTGCCCGGGCCTGCTTCCACAGCTCTCCAGACCTTCCCTGCCCGCCCTGCCTCCACAGGCCCCTCAGCTCCTGCTCTGCCCCTCAGGCAGGGAACCCCCGTGAGGGTCCCGAGTATCCCCCCCATCCCCCTGCTCCCCGCACACGTCACCCCGACAGCCCGGGGCCCTCCCTAGCAAGGCCCCAGGGGCTAGCGCCGCCCCCGCGTCTGGCGGGGCCCAACTTTCACCTCAAGGTACGCCCACCTCAGGCATCCCCGCCCCGCCCTCCAAGGTACGCCCCCCTCAAGCCTCTACGCCACGCCCCCAAGCCCTCTCAGGTCTCCACGCCCCGCCCCCAAGGTACGCCCCCTCAAACCTTTCCCCTCCTCCCCCAGGAAGGCCTCTTAGGCCTCCACGCCCCGCCCTCCAAGGTACGCCCCTCTCAAGCCTCCACGCCACGCCCCCAAGCCTCTCAGGTCTCCACGCCCCGCCCCCAAGGTACGCCCCCTCAAGTCTTTCCCCCCCTCCCCGGGGAAGGCCTCTCATGCCTCCACGCCCCACCCCACACAGCTACGCCACGCCCCCCAGGTGTGTTCCCCTCGAGCCTCCACGCCTCGCCCTACACACGTGCGCCCTGTCCCTCCAGGTACGCCCCCGCTCCCCAGCTCCCACGCCCCACCCCTCCCTGCTCAGATCAGCCCCGTCCCGCGCGGGCTCCACACCCTGCCCCATACAGGGGCATCTCGCCCCGTGAGGTATGCCCCCGCCTCGCGCAGGTACGCCCCTTCCCTTCCCCAGGCTCCGCCCCGCGCAGGTACGCCCCTTCCCCGACCCGGTGCCCAGCAAGGTACACCCCTTCTCTTACTGTCCCGCCCTTCACGTGTCCCAGGGCCCCCGCGCCCCTGTCCCGGGCTCCCAATCTGTGGGACCCCCGCATCTAGTTTCCTTCCAGGTCTCTGACCCTGCCCTGGCTGGCCCCGCAGCCCTACCCATCGCAGGACCCCGTTGGCCGCAGCCCGCCGGTGACCCCCGGCCCCTCCCCTGCGCCCGGGCTCCCGGCTGCTGTCCTCATCTCCCCAGTAACCCGACCACAACAGTGAGCTGGGAGCGCCGAGGGCAGTTCGGGGACTGCGGCAGGTAGGGACAGGCCCGCGCTGGGGCGGGGTCCACTGTCTCCACGACACTTTCCTCACGCAGCCGTGTTACGGGGACCCTCCCGATCCCCAATATGGGAGGCGGGAAGTCGGGGGGGACTGGGCAGGGGCTCGGGCGGGGTCCGTCCGCCCCTTGGGAGAAACTGAGAAGCTGAGCGACGCCCAAGCGCGTCCAGGCTTCGTGCCTCTCCCGGTCTCTCCGCCGCCTGAGAGGTCCCGGGTCTCTCCACAGGAGCGCCACCCTCTTTGACCGAGATGCCTTTGGGACCCTCTGCTGGGAGCACCCGCTCCGAAGATGGAAGCGAGGTCCTCCTGGAGGGAATGGGTAATCCATTCGTTCATTTTTTTCTTAATTTTAATTTTTAAATTTTATTTTTATAAAGTAGTTCACAGTATTGATTACATGTAATACTCGAACACCAATCCCCACCACCGTAACATCTTCCCACCACCGTATTTCAGATGTTTCTTCCATTTCGAACCCCAAACCCTGCCCCAAAGCAGAACCGAATAATTCATTTTGTATTAAATTATTAAATTTAATACAAAATTTGTTTTGTATTCAGTTAATTAAGACCATTCGTTCTTTAATTCCTGCTTGTCCTCAGTTTACCCAATTGCCAGGTCCTTTGCTGCGGAGTGGGGCCTGGGGTAGAGGGAGGTCCTCTCAAAGAGCCCACCTGTCGGGACGCAGGTGCAGGGAGTGGAGGTGATAAGGGGGGGTACACAAGCCTGGGAACTGGGGTGGCCAGGAAGACTTTCCGCAGGAGGAGGCACTGAATTGGTAGCCAAATTTAGCAGCATCGCTGGCCTCTTCTCACCAGGGGCCAGAAGCCTTGCGTCGCCATCATGGCAGGCAAAAATGTCCCGGGCATTGCCACCTGATAGGCCTGGACAGAACTACTTGTCTATGGAAGGAAGCAGGGTCCCCTCTTGGGGGTGCTCCCCGGGGGTGGTTGGACGACTAGGGTGACAGCCCAGACTTGTAGGTGCAGTGCCTGACTAGCAGAAGGGCGGGGGGGGGGGGGGAGGGGACTGGAAGATAGCACTGAGGACTGCTGGGCTCTGCAGGGGAGAGGCACAGGGAACCAAACTCTGGCCGACCCAGAGGCAGCCGATGGAGGGGAGCAGACGCGCCCTCTGGTGGCCAAACAGAGGGGTACTTGGCTTGTTGAACTTGCTCCCGCAAGGGGCAAGTCTCCGAGGCCTCAGGCATTATTAGGGGTGAAATGTGTTGTGGGGCCGGGTCTGCAATTCCTGGGTTAGTGTTCCAAGAATCTGGACTCCTAGGACCTGGGGAGGGAGAGGGGTTGAGGACTGGGTCCTTCATGAATATCCCTTACCTGGTCCTACCCTCAGTGGATTGGGAGCTGAGCCGTCTGCAACGACAGTGCAAAGTGATGGAGGCTGAAAGGCGCGCCTACAGCAAGGAAGTCCGTCAGCGCATCAACAAACAGCTGTGAGCATGCACCCTTGGTGATAGGAGGGGCTGTCACAGGCATGGGGGAGGGGTACCCTGGTACTCCTGGAGGAGAGGCCTTTAGTGATGCTGAGCTTCCCTGCCCGGGGACAGCGGGGAAATCCAGCACCTACAGGAGGTGCGGGACCAGCTCCAGACACAGATTCGCGTGGCCGAGAACCAGGTGAAGCGGCTGCGGGACGGCCAGAGGCTGCAGAGCATGGGCCAGCTGCTGTCCGCCCGGGCGCAGGTGCAGGTCAAGATTGATGAGCTGATGGAGCAGATCAGAATCCTGGACAAGGAGGTGGGTTTTGTGGCTGCTACATTCTGGCCCCTGAGGAGGGGCAGGTGTCAGCCGTGTGGCTTGGAACTTTCTCCTTTGAGACATGGGGTGACGGACAGTATTGGGCTGGTAAAATGGTGGCCAGGATTCAGGAGGAGCACAGGGTGGGGAGAGGTTAGAGCTTATCACAACCACAGTTATTCAGGAAGGGGAGCTTAGAGTGGGTTAAGGGGTGTGGTCAATGAAGTGGTCAATGAAATGAACATGATAATTATTATTATTATTATTTTGGTTTTGAGGCCACATCTATTGGTGTTCAGGACTTACTCTGGCCTCTGTGCTAAGGAATTAATACCGGCAATACTTGGGAGAACAAATGCCCTACCCACTCTACTATCACTCTGACCTCAATAATTATTAATTGAATTAAAAACCTTTCTAGTGTTTGGGTCACACCTGGCAATGCTCAGGGGTCAGTCCTGGATCTGCTTTCAGGAATCACTCCTGGTGGTTCTTGGGGGACCATATAGGATGCTGGGGATCAAATCTGGGTCTGTTCAAATACCCTACCATTGTACTATTGGTTTGGCCCCAGACAAGTTTTTTTTTTTTAATTACCTTGACAACATTGGAGTTCTTGCCTGGAGAAACCTGACTATGGGGAATGGTAGGACAAATGTAGGTTAGGGTCTCCAGAATGGAGCTCTGGAAAGCCTCCGTAAGGTTATGATAGAGTCTCTCTCTTTTTTTTCATTTTTTATAATTTTATTTATTGAATCACTGTGAGAGCAGTTACAAAGCTTTCGGGTCTAAGTCTCAGTCATACAATGAAACACCCGTACCTTCACCAGTGCCCATTCTCCACCCCCAACAACCCCAGTATACTCCCATCCCACACCCTCCCCCTACCTGTGGGGCAGATGATGTCCACATTACTCTCTCTCTACTTTGATCACATTCAATATTTTGACACCAGACCCACCATTATTATTTGAGATTTTACCCCAAAACTCAGATCTGCTGAAAAGGCAACTGTAGACAATTTGTTTTCTATTGCTGGTTATGAATAACATATGATGTTGCGTGGCTGCAGTAGTGGCCGTGCGATTTTGAAATTCTGAAATTTTAACACTTAAATCTGGAGGAATTTCTGCCAAAACCTGCTGGGTTCCAAGATTTGCTCCTGAGTCTCTGGGATCATGGCCATTAAGCAGCTTGATCAGGAGCCAGAAAGGCCATTTGTGGGCGATGACTTGGGGTCTCGTTGGGGTGGGGAGGACAGGACCGGCTCCACCCCCATCCTGTGAGGCCCAGAATGTCTCGTCACTGCGGGCCCAAACCTGACTGTCCAGTGGCCCCTGAAGGATGACAGCCACCGAGCTGTCAGGGGGAAGCAGGCGGAGGAACAACACCCTTATCCCCTGGGGTGATCCGGTGACAGTAACCTACTGTGTGGTCCGGACACTTTTCTGCCAAAAGCCACTGGGTTTCGAGATTTGTTTCTGAGTCTCTGGGATCATGGCCGTTAAGCAGCTTGATCAGGAGCCAGAGAGGCCATTTGTGGGCGATGCCTTGGGGTCTCATAGGGATGGGGAGGACAGGACCGGCTCCCTCCCCATCCCGTGAGGCCCAGAATGTCTTGTCATTGCGGGCCCAAGCCTGACTGTCCAGTGGCCTCTGGAGGATTACAGCTACCGAGCCACCAAGGGGGAGCAGGTGGAGGGACAACACTCTTTCCCCCCTGGGGTGGCCTGGCGACAGTAACCTACTGGGGGGTCCGGATGCATTTCTGCAAAAGCCACTGGGTTTCAAGATTTGTTTCTGAGTCTCTGGGATCATGGCCGTTAAGCAGCTTGATCAGGAGCCAGAGAGGCTGTTCGTGGGCGATGACTTGGGGTCTCGTCGGGGTGGGAAGGACAGGACTGGCTCCACCCCCATCCCGCGAGGCACTGTGTGTCTCATCACTGTGGGCCCAAACCTGACTGTCCAGTGGCCTCTGGAGGATAGTGGTCACCGGGCCGCCGGGGGGGAATAGGCCAAGGCACGAAACCTATTCCCACCTGGGTTGGCCCAGCACCGGTAACTTACTGCAGGGACTGGACGCATTTCTGCCAAAAGCCACTGGGTTTCGAGATTTGTTTCCGAGTCTCTGGGATCATGGCCATTAAGCAGTTCAATCAGGAACGAGAGAGGACATGCCTCCAATTATATAGCTGAGCCTGAGGTGGTTTGTGGGTGTGTTTCCCACATACTTAACTTTTGGCCATTTACTTTCTTGGTAAACTTTGCCCCAAGTTTTTGGGGTCTGGCCAAAGGCACAGCAGCAATTTTGGGGTATCTGTATCTGGAAGTCTGAAGGCGCCATCAGGCTGCTGATGCATGTGCCTCACAGGTACAGATTGACCTGCTGGCAGTACCATACCCCCTGGTTATGATAGAGTCTTGCTGGGCCATAGCGATATCACAGAAGGGAGTGTGCTTACCTTGCATGTGACTGATCAGGGTTTGATCCCCAGCATCCACATGGTCCTCTGAGTACTGCCAAGAGTAATTCCTGAGTGCAGGCCAGGAGTAACCCCTGAACACTGCTGGGTGTGTCACCTTCCTCCTTGCAAAAAAAAAAAAAGTGTTGGACTACAGAGATAGTGCAGGAGGTGCAGGGTAGATTGCCTTGCATCCAGCATGCAGCTGACCTGAGTTAATAGTGCTTGGGGTGATCCCTTAGCACAGAGTCAGCACCACTGAGTATGCCCCCCCCCCCCAAGAAAAAGGAAGAAAGAAAGAAAGAAAGAATGTAGTTATCTAGGGCTAGGGATGTGATTCAGCAGTAGAGTACTTTTCTTGCATGTGTGAAGCCCTGGGTTCAATCCCTGGCACTGCTAAAAAAAAAAAAAGTACTGTCCTATGACATACATTAATTTAACACACACATCTTTAAATTTTGGGGGGTTTTGGAGCCACATGCGGTGATTTTCAGGGCCTACTCCTGGTTCTGCACTCAGAGGTCACTTCAGGTGTTGCTCGGGGCATCATATATGCTGCTGGGTGTCAAATCTGGTTGGCCACATGCAAGGCAAAGTGGTTATTATCACTCAGACCCAGTCTCTCTTTTTTCTGTTTGTGGTGCTGGAGATTGAACCCAGGACCTCACATGTGCAAGCAAGTGCCCAACTACTGAGCATTTCCCCAGTCCTTCATTCATTAGACAGTTACTTTCTAGGTACTGGGCACTGCTCTGGGTGTTGCAGACCCAGCTTGAGCAAAACAGTGTGATCCCTGCCTGTGCCAGTTCCACTTTAACTTTTATTTGACCATCAACCAAATAAGCCAAACAAAGAATTTGTTGAGGAGTCACTCAGAATCTGCACTGGCAGACAAGATGGGAAGTAGCAAAGAGACATTGTACCTCAGAGATATTGGGGAACTCATGAGAAGGGTTTGTAGGCGGCTCAGTAGTAATTCAGAAGCAGAAGAGATGGAATTGAGACCTAACTAATGTGTCGTTGGATAATATTGAGAATTTCCCAGAACTAATGAAAGCTGGAACTCACAGATTCAAGGACCCTTTAGAGTCCAAGATGGCACAAACAAGACACACACTCAGAACATCGGAAAATTTCAGACTCCATAAGCTGCCAGAAAAATAAAAAAGACATTATGTGCAAAGGAGCTGCAGTCAGACTAATCAGCTGATTTTTCCAAAGAGACACTAGACGGTAGGAGACTTGAGTGTGACATCTGTATTGGAGGGAAAGTGTCAGTATCAAACTCTCTATTCACTGGAGAAACCATAAACACAGAGCAAACAACTTCTCTCCTTCTCTTTCTCCTTCTCTTTCTCCTCCTCTTCCTTCTTCCTCCTCTTCTTGCTCTTCCGCTACCTCTTATTCTTTTCTCTTCCTCCTTCCCCTCTGCCCTCCTCCTCCTCCTCCTCTTCCCTCCTCCTCCTCCTCCCCCCCCTCCTCCTCCTCTTCCTCCTCCTCCTCCTTCTCATTCTTCTCCTCCTCTTCTTCCTCTTCTTTTAATTTGGTGGTTTTTTTGGCAACATCCGGCGACGCTCAGGGCTTACTCCTGCCTCTGTGCTCAGGGATCACTCCTGGCAGACTCTGGGAACTGAGGATTGAACCTGGGCTGGCTGTGTACAAGGCAAGTGCCCTTCCCACTGTACTATCGCTGTTCCTTCCTCTCATTTTCTGAACCTCTCACATCAAAGATGGGTTACAGATGGTCTTTGGATTTATACCAGTTCATGACACTATTCTATGAATATGTAAAATAAATTTTTTTTTTTGAGAAAAGTCAGCATTCGTGCTTGTTAAACTTCCAGAAACCCTGGAATTAAAGGAAATCTTTGGCATGTGATAGAGGGAACAATCAAACCTCTATAGGTCATGGTGAAGCTTAAGATATTCTCTCTGAGAGCAGCAATGATAAGGATATCAGCTGTCCCATTTATACTTCACAGTGGCTCAGTATAGAAGTTAATGGACTGGAGGGATAGGGCACTTGCCTTGCATGCGGCTGGTGTAGGTTCAATCTCCAACACTCCATATGGTCCCCTGAGCTCTGCAAGGAGTGATCATGAGCATGGAGTAATCTCTGTACACCATCAGCTGTGGCCCCCAAATAAATAAGCAAATAAGTCATATATCCAAACTGATTTATAGCCCAGAGTAATCACAATTCAAGTACTGACATTTCATGTCACTGTCACTGTCCTCCCGTTGTTCATTGATTTGCTTGAGCAGGCCCAGTAACGTCTCCATTGTAACAATTGTTACTGTGTTTGGCATATGGAATACGTCACGGGGAGCTTGCCAGGCTTTGCTGTGTGGGCGAGATACTCTCAGTACTTTCCGGGCTCTCTGAGAGGGGTGGAGAAATCGAACTCGGGTCGGCCATGTTGGCCACTTGTAAGGCAAATGCCCTACCCGCTGTGCCCAACATTTCATGCTTTTAAAAAATTATTAATTTTGGTTTTGTGGCCACACTCAGTGGTTCTCAGAGCTTACTCTTGGCTCTGAGCTCAGGGATCATTCCTGGTGATGCTCAGGGGACCATATGGAGTGCTGGACATCAAACCCATGTTGGCTATGTACAAAACAAGAGCCCTATCTGCTGTACTATAGTTCCAGCTATTTCATGTGTTTTATTTTTTTTTACTTTTTTTTTTTTTTTTGCTTTTTGGGTCACACCTGGTGATGCACAGGGGTCACTCCTGGCTCTGCACTCAGAAGTTACTCCTGGTGGTGCTCAGGGGACCATATGGGATGCTGGGAATCGAACCCGGGTCAGCTGCGTGCAAGGAAAACGCCCTACCCACTGTGCTATCTCTCCAGCCCCTGTTTCATGTGTTTTAAAGAGAAGTTTTTTGTCTTTGTTGGAGACCACACCCAGCAGTGCTCAGGGCTCACGCCTGATTCAGGGCTCAAGAGATCATATGGAGGGAGGGGGCTAGGGATTGAACCCAGGTTGGCCATGGCTAAGGCAAGCACCCTACCTGCTGTACTATCTCTCTGGCCCTGGGTGTTTGATTTTTACACAGCAACTGCTGATACCTTGGCTGTAGAAAGATGTGATAACTTCCTTCTGCCTCCCTCCAAATGTCAAACATGCCCATGGGGCCCACTTTGAGTATGGGTTATCTGGGCACTCATACTATTTCCTGGGGCTGCTGGAAATGACTGAGTAATGCTTTCCACAGAAAGTAATCTCAGCCCTGGAGGCCCACATCTTCCGTCACAGTGTGGGAGTGTGGATTCCTTCGGAGGCTTCTGTTCTGCTTCCAGTGGTTGGCTGGCAACCTTGGGCAATCCTTCTGTGTAGGAAGCACCCTAATCTCTGCCTTCGGGGGGGCCCTATGTGCTTGTCTATGTGTGAAGCCTTTTGCTTTTCCCTTTGGATTTTGGGACACACACAGCGGTGGTCAAGGGTTACTCCTGGCTGTGCACTCAGGGATCACTCCTGGCGTGCTCAGGACACCATATGGGATGCCAGGAATCAAACCCAGGTTGGCTGCAAGCAAGGCAAATGCCCTGCCCACAGTATTATCTCTCTGGCAACAAAGTTCCTCCTTTTTATACAGACACTGGTCAGACTGGATCCAAGCCAACCCAATGATCTCATTTCCACTTGGTCTCTGATCGCCAAATAAGGTCACATTTTGAGATATTCGGTCCATCTGCAGACAAGGTGGTCTACAGGTAGGAGGTTATTTGAATGGAGAATTCGGATCAACTGGCAAAGACTAAGGAGACAGCGGGGGTAACCAGGACAGATCTTGTAAGACACTGTCACCCAGTCAGCTCTCCTATGAAGCCTCTTCTTTCCTCCAGATCCAGGAATGGGAGGCCCGGATTTTGGCCCAAAGCAAGAAGTGCAAGTCCCTGTGCTTCATGACTCAGAAAGCCAAGGTGTGGCGCAGGGTCAAGATCCTGGAGGACCAGCTGGATAGGGTGAGAAGCCTGGTTCCCGCAAGACAGGTGCCAGCTGGACATGGGCTCATGATCCAGAAGAGGGAGACAATGGGCTGGAATGATAGTACAGCAGGGCAGGTGCTGGCCTTCCATGTGGCTGACCCAGTTTCGATCCATAGCACCACCACACCGGGTTCCCTTAGCCCCTCCAGGAGTGATCCGGGAGCAGAAGCAGGAGTAAGACCTGAGCATTGCTGGGTGTGGTCCTGGAACAAACCAAACTATTGTAGACTAGATTCTCGGGTGTGGACATGCCTGAGACAGTAATGTGTGTGTTGTGGGCATCAGTGAAATGGTTCAGTGGGGGAGGGAGGGCCCCTAGGGAACTGGGTGTTAGAAGGGCACTGGGCCATACTCTCAAGGTCCCCCAGCTCTTACCAACACCCCCTATTTGTCTGGGTGTAGAGGAGGAGACCACACCTCCTGACAGCCTCTTGCATCCTGCCCTGCCCCCAGGTCACCTGTCACTTTGACACTCACCTGGTGCGGAATGCGGCCCTACGGGAGGAGTTGGACCTCCTGCGGATCGAGAGGAACCGCTACCTCAGTGTGGACCGCAAATTGCGGAGGGTCAGTGTCCCGAAATCCGATAGGGTTTCTCTCCCAGCTCCCCCACCTCCAACTGGGCCTTGCTTTCTCCTGGGCCGGCCCTGCAGTGCAGACCCATCCCAGGCTGCCCCTGGCTCACAGATCAGCCTCATTTGGTTTGCAGCAAGTAGAGATGTCATTTCAGGTGTCATAATTGCCACGGCAAACCAGAAAGTGCTTTTACTTTCTATGGGCAGGCCTTTGAAGAGTTTGCCCTCTTCCCTTCTTTCCTTTCTTTTTATCCTTCCCTCCCTCTCTTTCACAAACAATGCTTTTTTCATTTCTATTATCATCATTACTACTACTATTATTTTAGTATTGGGGTCACACCTGCCAGTTCTCTGTGGCTGTTCCTGGCTCTGTGCCTCCTGGTGGTGCTGGTGGACTACTATATGTGGTACCAGGAGTTGGCCACATGCAAGACAAGGTCTTAACTTCTGTGTATCTCTCTGGTACTTTTGTTTTTGAACCACATCTGGCAGTGCTCAGGGCTTACTCCTGGCTCTGTGCTCAGAAATCACTCCTGGCAGGCTCAGGGGAACATATGGGGTGCTGAATATTGAACCTGGGTCAGCATTGCACAAGGCAAGCATCCTTCCTGTTGTGCTTATTGCTCTGGCCCTCTCTAGTCCCCCCTCTTTTTTAAAAAAAATATTGTAGGCCACCCCATCAGCTGACTTAATTTTTTTCTTTTTTTTCTTTATGAATACATTTGCATTGTGCAGCATTGCTGATGGAATCCCAGAAAACATCCTGAGAAACATCCTCTCTTCAGCCTCTATCTCTATTTTTTTTCTTTTTGGGTGACACTGCGTGATGCACAGGGGTTACTCCTGGCTCATGCACTCAGGAATTACTCCTGGCGGTGCTCAGGGGACCATATGGGATGCTGGGAATTGAACCTGGGTCGGCCGCATGCAAGGCAAATGCCCTACCCGCTGTGCTATGGCCCCAGTCCCTCAGACTCCCTTTTGCTTTGTTCTTCTGCTTAAGAACCGTAGTCTTGTGACCCTGCTGGTGTTCAATTTTCAAAAGTGAATTTGTGTACATGCATGTGCAAGCATGCCTGCATGCACATATGTGTATATGTGTAACATAGTAACACTTTTATGTATACGTTAATATAGGCATGATGGACATGGGAGGATAAAAATATGTAACTGTGGGGTGCTGGTACAGTGGGTCAGGTGCTTGCCTTGCACATGGCTGACACTGATTCAGTCCCCAGCACCTCATCAAGTATCCTGATAGTTGCACTGCTGGGAGTGACCGTGAGCATGGAGCTGGGTGTGGTTCCAATTCTCCCCCTCAAAAAAACTCCCATCTCTCAGGATGTGGCCACCAAGGGATGCCCACAACTCCCCAGGCACCTGTGTCGCACAGGTGCTGGGAACTGGAGGGCCTCTCTATCCCCTTTTCTTGGCAGGAGACCCAGCGGCTTCAGCAGATGGTCAGCAACCTCATCGTCTCCTCCACCTCTGCCTACTCTGTCAGGTAATGTACCGTTGGAGTAGGGGGGCAAATACCCCCAATTCCTGACTGAAACAATTTCCATCAGAGCCTTCATCCTGCCTGTGTCCCAACAAAGGTGCCTCGTTCTCTCCTGCCTCACTCGGGTCCACATTCCGAGCTTTTGGGACCCTTCTCTGGCATGTGGGGAAGGCCCTGCCTGCCACTTGGAGGCCATGCAAGAGGCTGCTGCCTCAGCCCCTCCCAGACCACTACATAGCAGGAGCCAGTGAGGTATGTGGGGCCCCTGACTGCCCCCCACCTGCCCCACTTCTCTCTGGGCACTATTTCTGGGCCCCGCTCACTCCTCTGAAGCTTCCTGAGCTTCGGTCCTGCTCTCTCACTTCACACGGTTTCTTTTCTTTCTTTCTTGAATTGTGGTGGGGATGGAGACAGGATCTCGTGGGGATGTTGCTTTGCTATGGAGTCTAGCCTGACTCCATGTGCTAATGACCTTGATTCAGGTCTCGTTTTTAGCATGTGACTGCTCCCTCCTGGCTTCTGATTCTGTGAGACATGGGTGGTATTTGGGATCTGTAGGATGGCTTTTTCCTTTCATAGGAGAATTGGGCACTTGTCTTTTTTTTTTTTTTTTTTTTGCTTTTTGGGTCACACCTGGCGGTGCACAGGGGTTACTCCTGGCTCTGCACTCAGAAGTTACTCCTGGCAGTGCTCAGGAGACCATATGGGATGCTGGGAATCGGACCTGTGTCGGCCGCGTGCAAGGCAAACGCCCTACCCGCTGTGCTATCTCTCCAGCCCCTGGACACTTGTCTTGTACACAGTTAACCCAAGTTCGATCCCCAGTATCCCATACAGTCCCCTGAGCCCTACCAGGAATGACTTCTGAGTATCTCTGGGTTCAGCTCCCCCCCAAAAAAACAAACAACTAAACAACAGCAACAACAAAACAATCTCCCCAAGTTAGTCACACACTCATCCAAAATATTCCAGACAAATGAGTTTTCCTCCTCTTCCTCCTCTGTCCTGGGGCATTATCCCAGCACCCCTCTGTGGGTCAGGTTGCCTGTCCTTACCCACTGTCACACTGTCCCACAGAGCCCCATAGCTCTGAAGGAACCTGCACATCCCTCCACCTTTGGGACCTCAAGACACCTGGTGGGGCCCTTTCCCTGTCCTGGAAGTGTGTCCTGAGCCACTGCACACCCACTGTGCCCATTCATTCTGTCCCGCAGGGAGGAGGCCAAAACGAAGATGGGGATGCTGCGAGAGCGGGCGGAGAAGGAGGAGGTGCAGAGCGAGGGGGAGGTGCAGGTGCTGCAGCGGCAAATTGCACACCTGGAGCAGCTTCATCGGTTCCTCAAGCTCAAGAATGACGAGCGCCAGACAGACCCAGCTGTCCTGGCCCGGCGTAGTCTGCGTGGTGAGCCTACGGGAGCCAGCTTGGGTGTCTGGACCCCTCTGCACTGCTGGCCTGAGGGAGACCCCACTGGCTGCCCTTTCTCTCCCCAGCCCAGGAGGTGGCCTCGGGGCTCCGGAAGACGTCACAGGAGCAACTGGTGCTGCGTTATGAGGATGCTTTGCACAAGCTGTCTCAGCTGACAGGGGAGAAGGACCCCGACCAGCTGGTAGACAAGTACCTGGAGAGTGAGCAGGGCTGGTTGGGGGCAGGGGAGCCTCTGCTTGGGGGGACCCCTTCACCTGCCGGCCAACCCTACTTGCTTCTTTTTCCTCCCCCCTAACCCCCTCTCTCTGTCCACTCCAGGTCGTTCCATCTTTTGATGCCTTTAGCTTGTTTTGGGGTTTTTGTCTCCTCCCTCCTTCCCTTTGCTTCCTCCCTTCTTCCCTCCCACTTTCTCTCCCTCTCATCTTCCACCTCCTGATTCTCTATGCTGCTGTCTGTCTCCTAGGGGGATCCTGTCTTGCTTCCCCTCTGTTTTACTCCCTCGTTTTTTGTTCTTGGCTCTCTGGGCTTCCTGTCTGTCACTGCTTCTCTGGGTTCCTATTCTAGTTTCTCCATTGTAGTATTGTCTCTCCCTCTCATCTTCCACCTCCTGATTCTCTATGCTGCTGTCTGTCTCCTAGGGGGATCCTGTCTTGCTTCCCCTCTGTTTTACTCCCTCGTTTTTTGTTCTTGGCTCTCTGGGCTTCCTGTCTGTCACTGCTTCTCTGGGTTCCTATTCTAGTTTCTCCATTGTAGTATTGTTTCTCACTGTCTTCCCATCCTTCCTGTCTGTCTGGCTCTTCTCCCCATTGACCTGTGCTACCTGCCTTTCCCAATGATGCAGTGGAGGAGCGCAATTTCGCCGAGTTCAACTTCATCAATGAGCAGAACTCTAACGTGGAGCATCTGCAAGAAGAAATCAAGGAGGTGAGGGAAGCTACTCCTTGAGACTGATCCCTTCATCCCACCCCGGGGCCATAGGGCACCCAGGTCCAGTGCCTTGTTCCTGTTCCCTGATCGCAGATGCAGGAGGCACTGGTGCAGGCGCACAAGAGTGAGGACATCCGCCACTCGACTGAGCAGCAGCAGCATGCAGCCTCCCTGAGGCGTGAAGATGAGCTGCGTGTGGAGGCGGATGCCATTGAGGCCCGTTTCCAAGACTTGGATGCTCAGCTGGAGAAGCTCAAGGCTGGTAAATGCCTGCCTGCTGGCTTCACCTGGGAGGAGGTGATGAGTGCCATCAGAGGCATTCCACAGACAGCATTGTATGTTTTGTTATTCATCCATTATTCTAGCTATCCTGTACACACCATCTATCATCACCCGTCTACCCATCCACCATCCATCCACTACCCATCTATCCACTATCAATCGACCATTCATCTATCCACCCATCTACCCCCATCCACTGCCAACCAATCCATTATCCATCTATCCGTCCATCCATCTATTCACCATCCATTCACCCACCCATCTACCCATCGACCATCTCTCCACTATCCACCATCTACCATTCATCTATCCACCATTCATCCATCCACCCACCATCCACCCACCATCCACCATCCGTCCTCCACCATCCATCCACTTGTCCTTCATCCATTCATTCACCTACCCAGCATCCACCCGCCTCCCTCTATCCCTCGTCTCCTCATGCTTTCATCCTTCCAGCCCAAATTTCCCAGAATCAGGCAGCCCCAGACCTGAATCCAGGCATTGTCATTTATGACCCCTGGTGTGTGGTTCTTGTTGTCTGGATGGCCTAGAAGTGGGGTGCCGGTACCTCCTTTGTAGACTTCGCATTAGAGCTAGCTAGGGTGATGGGGGGACACTGAAGGCAGAGATGGGAGATGGTGTGGCTGAGGAAGATGCACCTCTTGGGGTGCTCTAGAAGTTCAGTATTTGGATGGTTGCAACTAAATGTCAAGGCCTGATTGGGGGTGATGAGGACCCAGGGCACTGAGGGAGCAACTGGGTGTGAACTCTGCAGGGGTGCAAGGTGGGATGCAGAATGAAAATGGGCCCTTCACACTTGTCAGGGGTTCCCTGGAGGCCCGCTTGCTGGGAAGCAGGGAAGGCTTCCTGGAAGGGGCAGCTGGAGGTGGGTTCGTGCTCATTTCCTTCCCCTTTTATTGTCGCTGCCCTGTCCTGCTGGGACTTGAGACTGGGAGAACCTCATCCTTGCTTATGTGTATTTGAGCCCAGGGGATGGAACTGGGGACTGAGGTGGCTCTGGAGGGTGAACGTATTGCCGAGAAGCAGCAGTGAAAGGGGTGCTTTGCGGGGGTTTCAGGTGCTTTGAAGGGGATGCAGGTTTGTGGGTAAGAGTTGAGTGGGGCAGGAGGTCCTGAAACTTTGCCCAAGGGGGCCCAGGGGCTGTAGGAGGGCTGAGTGGGAGGGGAGGCAGGTTAGGGGGAGGCGGGGGGAGAGGGTGGGGGCTACGCAGTGCTCAGGGGTCTGACTTGGGGGGGGTAGGAAGGGCTCAGGTGGTGGGGTGCAGCTTCTTGTGCAGGTCTTGGTCCCCTCAAGCTGGCTGACGGGGTCTAGGAGGGGCAGGATTAGGCTGGTGGGGTGGGGACTGACAGTGGCCAAGGCACCTTGTGGAACCATTTGGTGGACACCACTGGATCCTGAAAGAAAGAAGCTGGTGGCCTTGTTGCTGCTGAAGAAGAAGCCCATGAAGAAGCATGTGGGGTCTGGAAGGCTTCAATGTGGAAGTGTCTGCTAGGTTTTCCTGTGAGCCTCAATCTGTGTGCTCCTTGCTGCCTGCATGGCTGAGTCCTTCCATTCTATTTTTGTTTGTTTTTGGCCCACACTTGGCCTTGCTCAGGGCTTAGGCCTGGCTCTGTGCTCAGGGATCACTCCTGATGGTCTTGGGGGACCTTATGGGGTGCCAAGGGTCCAATTATGGTTGGCCACATGCTCAGTAAGCATCTTACCCGCTATGAGTTCCTTTTCCTCTTCAGGCTACGTGTGGTGGCTCCCAGTGGCTGGGAGCAGGAGGGACCATGGGGAGCTAGAGGGGAGCAGGAGGGGCTGCGGGGGACTGAGGGGAGCAGGAAGGGCTGCAGGCCGTATCCATAGTCTCCTACTGCTTGCTGCAGGCATCCAGCACCTTTTCAGTGAGGCCCAGTGCGACAGCAGTTCCATCCAGGACCTCCTGGGCGTGCAGGACCGTGACATTGGCCTCTTCTTGGGTCTCATTGAGAAGCGCCTGGTGGAGCTGCTCCTGGTGCAGGCCTTCATGGATGCCCAGGTGTGGGGGCCTGGGATGGGGGCCAGGGAGACCTAGGGTTGACCTGTACCAATGCTGACACTCCCCCCCCCCCCCCCCAGACTTACACTACCAGCACTTTGAGTAACGCAGCCCTCATGGTGCTGGGCCAGAGCTCCGAGGATGCGCCCAAGAGGATGATCCTGCCACAGCCCCCCATTAATTTGTGAGTCAGGGGCTGGGAGGAGGAGGTGGAGGGGTGCTTACTGGGTTCACGGAGGCCAGAGACTTCTGTTCAGGCTTGTGGGGACTGGAACATGTGCAGGCAGTGCTAGGAGTGGGTTGAAGAGGAGCATGTGTTTGGGAGGCCTCTGCAATGAGGGTCTCCGGGCTTCTTTTCTGTCCCTACCAGGGAGGACCCCCCAGGCTTTGAGGCCAAGGATGACTACCCCATGAGTCGGGAGGAGGTCATGAACCAAGTGACCAGGATGGTGAGACTGGAGGTGAGTGTGGCTCAGGCATGCATGGGTGTGGGCTAACCTCTGGGGGGTGGTTCCTGATTGGCCCTACCCCCCCTTCCACCCAGATGGAGGTACAGCAGGAGATGGCAGATGGACTGAGGATGGCGGACAGCACCCCAAACCTTGGCGGTACCCGGGGACTTCCCCGGAGCCCCGGCAATATCCTGGGCCCCCGGACCAGTACTGTGGGGTCCTCAGGCAGCCGCCCTGCCAGCTCCACTGTTGGCCGTGTTACCTTTGGGGACCCCAGCTCCAGCGGGGGCCCCACCACCCTCAGCTCCTCCAGCACCCGAGAAGGTCCTGCGAGTCGCGTGACCTTCAAATCCCCCAGTTTAAGTGACAACCTGGGGTTCACTGGATACTTGGGGTTCAACCGGGGCCAGGATGGTCTGGACGCCTTGCAGAAAAGAGGCAGGTCTGAGTCCAGCTTGGCTTTCGGGTCCGGCAAAGGCCGCAGCCAAAGCATTGGGCCTCGGTCCAACAGCGTTCCCAGCTCCACCCTGAGCAAGGATTCTGAGAGCAACATCTAGGGCCTCCCGCACCCTGCCTGACCCCCCTGACCCTCCCACTTTCCTCACTTCCTGCTAGTCTCTGCTCTTTCCTGTGTCCCCATTTCTGCCCCATTCTGCTCTTTCCTCATCTCACTCTGTCTCTTGCTCCCCTTCTCCTTTCTGTATCCCCATCTCTGGCTTTACCCCATGCTGGGAGAAATGCCCCCTGCAGCCCCGTTTCCTTATTCCTCACCACCCCACAGAGTCATCCCCTATACTGAGCAGTGGATGGGGGGGACCCCTGAGCCTCAACATCAGGATAAGCCTGAGTGTGTACACTGGAAATAAAGGACAGAGACTGACTTTTGCCTCAGTCTTCATGTAAGGTGCAGGAGCTTCAGATATGCTGGTTCCTCTGCAACTTGGTGCCGGTCTCGTGCCATTCTTTCATTCTCTCATGCCTTACTACCCTGAGTTCTGTCAACTGTTGGGAGTTTTATGGGTCAGGCTGAGCCAGGCTGCTCTGGCCTGATGCAGCGACAGCTTGTGCTAGATGTGGCGGCACAGTCGGGCTCTTTATTGTGGATGGGCTCAGGGCTTTGCACCACCCCGGCCCTGGGACCATGGAGGACAGTCTCGGTGTTTTGGGCACTGGGCAGTAGAGAACAGAGGAGTGCTTCAGTGACTGTTTCAGCCCTAACCTGGAGACTGTGTATATGTACCTGCTGTGAGTCAGAACAGATTATCCCATCAGATCTGACATCCAAGGGAATGGGGACTGTCATCTTCCCGTGCTGTAAGGAGAAGGGGGTGCCTGGGGATGCCTTCAAGGCCAGAAACCACGTTAAGCCCACCCCTTCCCTGCTGTGGAGGCGTTTGGGAGAGAGGGGGCTTAGAACACAACACCCTGTCTCTGAGTCAGCCCATGTGCATGGCAAAATCGACCTTAGTCAAACCCATCCCACTATCCTCAATCAGGAAGAGAATTGCTGGGCTTCATTCCCCCTTCCAGCGGGGATGAACATGGAAATGAAATGAGCCAGTGCCCAGAAAGCATCCAAACCCAACATCCAGGGCCTAGGGAGATAGCATAGTGGGGAGGGTGCTGGCCTTACCCAAGGACAACCTGGGTTCAGTCCCTGGAAACCCATATGGTCCCCTGAGCCCACCAGGAGTGACCCCTGAGTGCAGAGCCAGGAGTCAGCCCTGAGCACCGCCGGTGTGGCCACCCAAAAAACAAAATAAAAAAGCTAAGCACCCAACACAGCACTTGCTTATAAATAGTAGTGTGATTGAGAGGAGTTAATAGTGAATAGTGTTTTCTCACCTGTGTTGACCATTGGCTTCCTCATCATTGACCGAGGCTTGGGACATACCCAACAGCTGCTCTTGAGCTAGATGGAAGAAATTTACATATATATAATATTATATTTAATTTTATTGATTCACCGTGAGAAATATTTACAAGCTTTCATGTTTGAGTTACAATCACACAATGATCAAACACCCATCCCTCCACCAGTGCACATTCCCCACCACCAATATCCCCAGTATACCCCCACCTTTCCCACCCTCCCACTGCCTCCTTGGCAGGCAATATTTCCCATACACTCTACTTTTGGTCATTATATTTTGCTATGCAGATACTGAAAGGTTATCATGTTTGCTCCTTTATCCACTTTCGGCACACATCTCCCATCCTGACTGATTCCTCCAACCATCATTTTCTTAGTGATCCCTTCTCTATTGGAGCTGTCCTCTCCGCCCCCATTCATGAGGCAGGGATGGGAGGAATCTTGATGGATTCTCTGCCCATTCCCACTGTGTAAACTGCTGGTCAGCTGCTGGTCATCACTGTCCCTTGGGCCGTCAAAGCTTGTGAACTGGCAGCAGCTGTCCTGTCCCAGGGTCTTGTGCAAGTACCCTCCCTCCCCTGAGAAAATTAGAGCCCCCCAACTCAGCTCTGAGCAGGAAGCTTGCGTTTGAAAAGCTTTCAGCCCTCAAGAGGGGGCAGGATTGGGAGCAGTTGCCAAAACTGGGTGAGAAGGAAAACATGCCCAAGTGGTTCATGGTCTCTTTGATTAATTGGTTTGAATCAAGGCCTAATAAAGAAGAGAAATAATGGCAGGGAGAGGGTGTGACAAGAAAAATAAGGAACTCCAAACACTCAGTTCTTCAAAAAAACACTTTGTTCTTCTGTTCAGTGAAGACAAGAAATGTTCAGAGAAGCCAGAGAAATCTTTCAAACCTGACTCAGCTGTCACCGCCTGTGTGTGCTGGAGTGGCCAGCAGGGGTTGCCATTGAGAAGCTCAGACACTAGGCGCCCTGCACTTCCTCACCTGAGTTTGGGACAAACAGATGGTTAAATGGGTTGGAGCAAGGCTTTGCGGGGACTGCCAGGCGTGGACCCCAAAACAAAACAAATAACACTCAAAATGGGCCTTATAGTTGTCTAAGTTTTCTTTTTAAATAGTCACACCTGGTGATGCTCAAGAGTTGCTCCTGGCTCTCTACTCAGGAATCATTCCTGCTGTTGTTCAGGGGACCATATGGGATGCTGGGGATTGAACTCGGGTCAGCCATGTGCAAGGCAAATGCCCTACCCTCTGTATTATCACTCTGGCCTTGAGAGAAATATTTCTTTTTTTTAAAAATTGAATCACTGTGAGCTACAGTTCCAAAACTATCATGTTTGAGTTTCAGTCATACAATCCATCCTTCTACCAGTAGACACTTTTTACCACCAATGTCCCCAGTATCCCTTTCCTACCTCACCATCTCACCCCTCCCCTGCCTCCATGGCAGACAATTTCCCTCTTTCTATTTATGGACATTATGGTTTGCAATACAGGTAATGAGAGACCATCATGTTTGGTCCTTTACCTACTGACAGAAATACGCCTTTTTTTTTTTTTGCTTTTTGGGTCACACCCGGTGATGCACAGGGGTTACTCCTGGCTCCGCACTCAGGAATTACCCCTGGCAGTGCTCAGTGGACCATATGGGATGCTGGGAATTGAACCCAGGTCAGCCGCATGCAAGGCAAACGCCCTACCCGCTGTGCTATTGCTCCAGGCCCCTGACAGAAATACGTCTTAACATAAACATTTTTAGGGGCTGGAGCTATAGTACAGTGGGTAGGCATTTGTTTTGCACGTGGCTGACCCGGCTTCTATTTCCAGCATCCCATGGCCCCTGAGCACTGCAGGAGTAATTCCTGAGTGCAGAGCCAGGAGTAACCCCTGAGCATCACTGGATATGACCCCCCAAAAAAAGCACCCCCCAAAGAAACATTTTTAAGCATCATGGGAAAGACAGAACTGTGAAGGGAGAGAGATGTGGTAATTTCATCCAATCATGGTAACAGATGCAATGATGAGCTCCACCAGATGAGTCACCCATGGGCCTTGTGTGTGAAGAATCACCATAGAGCATCCAATAAAGATCAGGAAAACAGTAGTTAAAATAGTGATACTTTTCTGGTAATGAAACTGTCATGTGGAATATTTATGACATATTTATATTATCTGTCAAATGACAGAATATTTTTGGCTTTTTTTTGGGGTCACATCTGGCGATGCACAGGGGTTACTCCTGGCTCTTCACTTAGGAGTTACTCCTGGCGGTGCTCAGAGGACCATATGGGATGCTGGGAATCGAACCCAGGTCGGCCGCGTGCAAGGCAAACACCCTACCCGCTGTGCTATCTCTCCAGCCCCCATAAAAGACAGATTTATGGGTTAACTCCTGGGTGGGCTTTGGGGTTCATATGGAAGCAGGGGATCAAACCACGGGCATGAAGGCAAAGAGCTTAGTTCTTAGACTATCTATCCATGCCCAAATAAAATATTTCACAGTAACATTTTGGAGCCATTTAAATTTTTTCCATGCTTTAAAATGAGTAAGAATCTGCAGCCATCCAAGCCTGTTCTAGGCCAAATGATACTTGCTGTGAATGGAATTCAGTGAAACTCATTGGGCCACTTGTCTGCACTCTGTGGAATGTGAAGGAACTCAGAGCCTGCAGTGACATCAGAACTGACCCTGGAGGAGCCTGTGCAGGGGCACCAGTAGCTTTTCTAAGTCACGACGTTTCAGTCCTTAGGGACATCCCATTACCAGAGTGAAACTTTTCCACGACCAGCTCTGACATCTCCAAGTTTACTTTGTGATGTGGCTCACCCAGGGACATGGGTGACCTCAGATGATGACTTTGCCTCCTGGTCATTAGCCTAATCAGTGACCTGGGGACTCACTCCCACCAGGGACAGGGATCAGCTGCTCCTGGGGGCACCTGAAAGCAAGGAGACTAATAAGGTCCTGGAGGCAGCAAGTGACAAGATGATGAAGTCCCTGAGTGGCCTCTGCCAGTCCGTCTCTGATTTACAGTCACGGAGTGAGACCAGCTGAGCAGATGCTACAACCTGGGCCAGCCGAGAGCCTTCACGGACCCAGACCCTCAGCAGAGCCAGAGCAGGTACAAACCTCTCTCTCTCTCTCTCTCTCTCTCTCTCTCTCTCTCTCTCTCTCTCCCTCTCCGTCTCCTTCTCCTGTTTGTGGTCACTGCTCCTCTCTCCTTCCTCTCTCTGGACCTTTGGGTCGCCCTCACCCACAGTCTTCCTTGTTCCTCCTGTTCTGTGGTGTCTGGTGATGGATTCTGTCTCTGCCAAGGAACCTCGCTGTGTCCCCTCCCATATACTGCTGTCTGGTCCCCTCCATTCATTCCTTCCTCCTAAGTATCCGCTTTCCCCAACTTCTGTCTTTGTCCTTCATCAATAGTCTTTGATTTCCAACCTGTATGTGTTCCTTGGCTGTGTCCCGCTAGTCTGATGAAGACTCTCTCGTGCCTTCCAGGGATTGGCTAACATCTCTCCTCACCAGGATTTCTCTCAAGGTGCCCACATTCCAGGACTCCCTGAATTTTAGCAGCATTGGTTGTCATCTGGTATCTGCATTTTTTAAAAATTATTTCTAACCATTACTTTTGCTTTTCCCACTGTCTTCCTCTTTGGCACACAATCTTCGTCGCCTGAAATGCTCATCC